ATCAACTAACAAAAATTAATCCCTGATTATCAAACTGCGATGGCAAAAGCTTTCAACTGAGTTCTTTTCGATGGAACTATAAAGCTATTACTGCCAGTAGTCATTCCCTCTTGATGTAGTAAATTAACTCTTGCTAAGATAGTCAGATGTCTGCATTCCGAGAGGATTTTTTCCTTCGTCATTAATTTTAAAAGCGTGCAAACAAGATGTGAGATAATTTACGTAAAATTTTTATTGCTATCGAATAAATGTTTTAAGTGGTCAAATGGATGAGGTAGTGTTTGTTCAGAAGACAGTTGTCAAGGTTTTCAATTTTTCTATTCTTTTGTCTTGGAACAAAGAAACCACCCTTTTAGGTTTGACGCCACTTTTTTTTTCTTTTCAGCTTACGAAAGATAAAGAGATACGAAGATGCGATAAGATCTAACCAAAAAATAATCAATTATTGTTTGACAATTAACGGAAAGAGTTGAACAAAGTTTGATGACAATATAGGAAGAAAAACTTCATTAGACGACTTATCAAACAAAGGGATTATACCTTTAAAATAACAAACCAGTTTATAATATTAATATCCTTGTGGGGAAGGAATATTGAATAGAATGCATGCGAACTCGAGCAATTAACAAGGGAAATATTGAGAGAATACTGTGCAAAGGGTTGGAAATATTTCAGAGATATAGCTGGTTGGTGGAATACACATTAGTTTAAGACTGTATCATAACTCTTATTTAAATGCACGAATTGGTTGCGGTTTTCGTTAAACCAACTTGCAAAATGTAGTTACAGCTTTTTAATAGCTATATATTATGACACTAACGAGTCTTTGAAAATGGTTTCAACGCGGAAAATTGTTTGAATCTTTCTATATTTATCCTGTTATTTCAAACGCAAAAAAAAATTAGAAAATAGAAAGAATCACGGTTGCACATAGGTTCTCCTCTTGGACAAAGCAAGTGATGAACTGTCAAACTATCTAATGAACTCTGAAAGGACGAGATGTAGGTGCGAGGCACCGATTACGCTCGAAGGCTTCTCTCTTCTATTGATAAAACATAGCACTCTAAATGTGTCATGATAGTCTTTCCTTGTATAATTCAACAAACAGCTTGACAAGCCGAAGAAAATAATATTAATTTTCTTATAATAGGCTTCAAAAAACACCTTCTTGCTTATTTTCCAAATAATCCTGCAAATTCATGTCAACAAAGTAGTCACTAAAATCCGACTAGGAAACTCAGGTGCTTTCCTCTAAAACGAGGTTGCAATCGGGTTTTACGCGGTAAAATCGCAAAAAACGTACGCCCGTCAAGACATTTAATTTATATTAAGATAACAGAACTTAACTGACAAATTTTCATCACTGATGCATCATCGAAAAAAATGTGTTCACTGCTAGTGAAAGACAAAAAACCGTTACAATCGCGGACGATTAGCGGGTGGGATAGGGAACAAGTGAAGTTTGCCGACCGATTATATTTCACGTTGCGCACAAGGATATTTTTCAGCCTATATTTATATAAGTTCTATTTATGTTGGAAAGTACCTTCTATTTATAGTCTTGTAGAACTTACAGATTATATAATATAACTGATTGATGTTTTTTTCTTTCACACTAACTTTACACAAACTCAAAACGACACTTGTTTTGTCCTCCGGAACATGAACTGTTAAATATTTCAAAATCTCCACCTCTTGTATTATTTGAATTAATTTTCACAATCCGATTCTTTTTCGCTTAGTAATGAGGGATATTTCACTCTTGCGACATGCAAAAAAGGAATTTGTCAGGAAATAATATAACAGTTGTTATGTTCATTGATTGGAGGAGTGCAAAACATTGTTAAGCTTCTTTATGAAATTTTTCACTTACATAATTCATTAACTGAGGTTTGTTCTATTTAAGACAAGCGCTTCTGACAATTGTGATGATTCTTACAACGTGTCTCACTGCAAATTGCTCGGAAGAAGTAAACGGTTCTCTATCACACGGTGCAAGTAAGGTGGAAATATTGGTACAGTATAAAAGTTCAAAATATAACTACAGGCCCCACGCTGAGATATGGCATACGTTCAAACAAAGCCCGGGATTTTTATGTCAACTTTTTCCTCGGGATAAACGAACTTTAATTGGGTTAGGAGAAATCTAACACAACAGTGCCTCACGTTGGAAGAAATCTCCTAGGGTTTTGCAGTGTGTAATTCCAGATCATGCATGTAAATTTAAAATTACCTAGTGTTTGTTGTTTTTGCAGGTTTTCGCACAAGAATTGATTGAGAGCGAGCTGTTTTGGAGTCGTTCAAGCGATACATCGCACGTACTATGTTGCGAAGAGACAACAGAAATAATCAGCACTTTTAAGATGGGAGGGACAACTGGAAGTTTCTGATTATGGTCCGAAACATCGAAAACTTCGTTGTTTTTAACAGGATTTTATTTTGGGTTCTCATCATCGGTGAGTACTTGGCTGTGATTTTTTTTCTTATCGCTAAACTTTTTACTAATAAGGTTTGATTACCGTATCATATAATTATCCTGCCATGACGTATTTCGAGGGTGTTTCACAAGAAAATATTATTTCATCAGTTCCGTTTGGATATAACATTCACAACTGCTCTTTGTCACGGATAAATTAATTTTTTTTAATATGCTTGATTCCCATTCCGCTTAGTATTTTTCTTTTTGTATTTCTGTCGCTAGTGTGCAGCTTCAGGTATAATTTTGGGACAATATTTCGTCTCTTTCTTCAATATTCGCAAATTTACTTTAATTATATACTCTTTCCGTATATTTTTTAAAGCACGTCCAAAGAGATAAATTATGTATTACCTGGTGATATAAGCTCATAGAATTTTCTCCACGGTTTTGTTCGTGAAAAACAAAGTCACCAACCGAAAATTTTCGCCGAAATGTTTGAAAATTGAAAATTCTTCTGCAAAAAAATTTGTCGTGGACCTCGTCGAACCTTAGTCTAACATAGTGGTGGAGTTTACAACACATTTGTAAATTTCCATGATTAATTTGTTTTCAAATTTGTGTAGATAAGCAAAGATTTTAAACCAGTCATATATTTGGCCTTGCTACGGTGGTACAAAACAAGAAAAACCACGCTAGTACTGTAGCTATATTGTTATCTTTCAAAGTGATGTCAACAACTTTAAAACGATGGAAATCCGAGGCTGTACGACTAATTGTATTGTACTAGCTAGCTATTGAGCTTTTCATCGTTCTTCAGGTTTCAAGCAAGCACCCTCAAATAAAATACTATTTACTCTGAAAGCAATTTTCGGTGACTTTGAAATAAATCTGGAAGATTCTAACGGACGTGCTTATCTTTCTAAAGTTTTCTGAGGTTAACATTCAAGACAAAACTTCTCGATATTCATTAATTATGATTTAGCATATTTTTCTGCGGTTAGGAATAATATCTTCTTTTTGTCAGAAGACATACCTGAGTCAGAGATATTTACAGAAAACATAAAGGATGGAAAGTGGTTTCAAAAGTCACTAAGCAATATTTCTCTCAAACTAGTATGAAGTGTTTCATGAGTTACAAACCTTCTATTGTTATAATTAATTGACATGCTAGTCTTGTGAAAGCGGATTTAAAAGCCTTATTAGCCGTATATTAAGAGGATTACCTAGGCACTTGACGTTAGATATTCATAATATTACATCTTTCGATTGAGCAGATAAGAAGGCTATTTTCAATTACACTCTCTAAAATGCAATATTGCTAACATATAAGAACAACTGCCAAAATTTGGTTTAATCTGGTATCTGTGGTAGAATATCACACAAGAACCAAATCAGTGAAAAGTAGAAAAAAAATTCCTTTTGTAAACGACTTTCAAACATTCAATGTTTAACGATTCTTCCTCTCATATATAGAGAGGTGGATGTAAATGTATATTTACTATATGAAGCGGTGAGGTAAATATTTCCGTGATTTACGGGCCGACACTGACAGGAATAATAGCCCTTAATATGAACTGGGTTGATGATAAGTCATGACAAGAAAGGAAGGGTCTGGTTTTTTCAGTCTCTGAACTGCTTTGAAATCTAAACAGCTACTGTATAGTGTTTGACAGTTAAATGTTATTTCCTTTTGACTCGAAGTTTTGTTACTCTTTTATTTTACGACGCTGGGCTTCACCAAACTCAACTGCAACTGGAATGTGTCTAGTTTTGCAGCGGTCTTCTTGTAAGTAATCGTGTTTTACTGAACACGTCTGTGCACTTCATCTGTTCCGCTTTTTTAAGCACGCACCCGGCACTTTTTTTCTCAGAAGAACGAGTTGGAAATCAATTTTATTTCATGCCTTCGATGAACAATTCATCTCGTTGTGTGTCTCTCGAGTCTTATTGGTATTCATACGCAACTCGCTTTCATTTGCAACATCTCTCGGGTACATGTACAAACGTTCTCGACGTCTCAAACGTCACTTTTTTTGCATCCATTCTTGCGTGCGTGCATGCTGTTCTTCAACATGGTCTATAATCATCTTCATTTCTCAAACCAATCCTTCTTTTGCGATTTTCATCCTGTATTTTTCAACATACACAATGCATGATCTTGAATTTACTTGTTCTTGAATTTTAGAATTCCCTCACCTTCTACCTTTCAATCCGAAGGTCAACTAAGGTTAGACAACTCAAAAAGCTTTTTAATGCCTCTTGAGCATTTCACAGAATTCTCTGACTCGTGGGGGAATATTTTGGAAAAATATTTGTTTTTGAACATTGCTGAACGGGTTTTCATTCTCAAAATCTCTCTATAAACACAGTTATACAACGATTGATATCGTTGCTTTAGTGTCTAAGGTGTTTGTTCCACTTTTGCCAAATCATTGTTTCTTTTATATCATAGATCTAAAACTTATTTTGAGTAGCGAATTCAATTTTATCTTTGATTCCAAAATTCCTTCAGAAGAAATTATCTTGTCTCGCCCGTTACACGGTACTTGTACTTCATCCGAATCATACATTGTGATGGATTCTGCGACACTCATCGCTTGCCGTTCTAAAATCGCTTCTCTCATCACTGTATATCTACCGGCATTCTCTCACATCACCTCTTGCTTTCCACCAACCAGGGAATACTAACTTTCACTACAGATCTCTATACAGCTCTTTTAACATCAGCTCGTAGAAATAGCCCTTTTTCACGGTTTTCTTGCACGTGAGGCAATTTTAGGAAGCCCGAAATTACCTCGCATCCACGTTGGATTACATTGTAATGGTAATGAGGAAAGCAAACCGTGGAAAGGGCTTCTGATGTTTCGTGGATTTTATTGTCTTCGCCTGTCAACTTGACGATATATGAAAATTGAGAGGAGATTTTTCGAACGCGTGAATCAAAGAGGGCTCATAGCACTTCTCTTTTTCCTCATCCCAGCCTCTCGTTACCCCTACCCCGCTTGGGGGTCTCCTTATCAGAGCGCCGACCACTACTGGCCCATGTCTAACATTACAGACGGGATCCTGGAAGATGTGGAGGGTGCCGCTCACACTGTTGTACACAATGGTGCAAAGATAGTACAAGATCCCCAGCTGGGATACGCGCTGTCACTGGACGGCAAGGATGACTGGGTGGACACAGGTAAGTACAAGCAGCTCACTTGTGGTATGAACGATGTTATCTCTTAAACATGCAACCACGCATGCGTACGATACCTAGCGTTTATCTCGTTACCTAGTGCTTCATATAAGCAACATTTTGTGTCCCTGCATCTACTCGACCAAATACCCACCATGCAAGTCAAGGTCCGTTTTTGAGGAGAGATCTGAGCCCGCAACTTTTGACAATCTCGTTGCTTAGCAAATGACGTATCATGCTGACGTGGCAGAATAGTGCTAAATCTGATTGGACAAGAACAATCGGAAAAACAAGTAATCTAATTCCCCAATTTCGATATATTAAAATTCAGCCTAAAACAATAGACCTCAATACGAGGCTCCGGTGAATAACTACAGAGTTTGCGGACTTTATTCCCCAGAGCCTCGTGCCGAGGTCTATTGTGTTAAGCTGAATTTTAATATATCGAAATTGGTCTATTGACGATGCATGCCAAGAACTCTTTTCATTAAAGCTAACAAAGATTTTTTCCTCCCACATTGTAAATCTCTGTTTGGTCTTTCCGTGATCCTTTAGATTTGTCAAAATGTAGTCGTAACAGAAAACATAAAGTAAGATTTCTGTAGTGTTCAGGGGTCCAAAATTGATGTATGATCAAATTAGACTCTCCCAACATTAAACATTCAGTTTTATTTGCTGTTCATTCCTCGTACTTTGTTTTGTTTTTATTTTGGTGACGAATGACAACTCTCCTCTAGGGAGGAGTCGGGAATGCAGCTCACTCCCCTCAGCCAAGTTTGGTTGTAAGTACGGTTTCGCTTCCCGCACCTCCTCCACAAGTATCTTGAGAAGGAACACTGTCATCTCGTTAGATGTTATTTCATGACCTCTCATGAAATAACTCAAAAACACTGATCATAAACACTGATACCTTGTTCACTGCCAGGCCTTTCCGCAAATATCACGTAAAATCGCTTAAATAGCTTTAAGGAAAATCTCTAAAACATTTCTCAATATCACAAACATTTTTCTAAATATCTCGAAAAACCTCTTAAATAACTTCTTTTTATTGTTTTAAAAATAAACGGATTTTGAATTAATTAGGCTAAAATTTTAAAACTTTTCTTGCTGTAGTAGGAATCGGGGAGAAGGGTTATATTTTCTAAACATCTTAAAAAGCTCGTGTTATAGTTAGGTGAACAAAGTCTTCAGAAAATTATTTGCCATGACTCAAAGAATTATTTCACGTATTTGTTTCAGTTTTAAGAAAATCTGGGAAACGGACAGTGTTCCTTAAACACGAGCACGTTGTTCATTTCCACATCTCTTCTCTCTCCTCTGCCTGCACTGTAACTAAAAATCACTCGCACCATTTTCAATGCTTAAATGTAATCTTTCAGTTCCTAGTTCGCGCAGTTTGAAAGAAATAGTCGTTATGTATCTCTTTCACTCCCAAACATGAAAAAAGTTCCAAACTGGAAAAAAAAATACAAAGTTCTTTTCCAAACTAGGGTCACACACTAGAGTTTCATGCTCAGGTTTAAGAGTTCGATCCACCTTGTACAGCATAATAAATAGTACCACATAAAAATACTGCTCAATAACTTTCATTTGAATGGTCACACACTAGGGTTTCATCCACAGACTTAAAAGTTAGAACCACCTCGTACGGCATAATAAACAGTACTACATGAAAGAACTGCGCAATAGCTTTCGGTTGAATGGTCACGGACTAAGGTCTCGAATTGATTCTGGGAGTGAAAGGGTGATGCGTTTTCGTCTCACACCTCACTTACCGTGTAGGGGAGGTTTTATAAGAGAAACGGTGACAGAAAGGTTTATTTCCCTGAGTTCCTTTTAAAAATAAATACTGTCGTGTTTGCAGGTGGTTTTAACGCGGATTGCGTCACGGAACCATCGACTTGCAAGGAGGGCTTTACAATGACATTCTGGCTGAAGGTGTATAGCACTGGATATGTCATGTCATCTGGTTCTTTTACCAATCACAGAAACGGACCTGGTTATCAGCTCTATTACCAACAAAGTTTAAAACGTTTTAAATTTCTCCTCGAAACAAGAGACAAAAGATGGACACTGCTCTTGCACGAGGAAGTTGGACTTTGGACCCACATGGCTTTCACGTGGCGCGCGCGAAACGGACTTTCGTATTACGAGGATGGAAACCTGAGTACGTTTACAGACAAACCAGTGTCACTGAATGTTCTAAGACAACAGAATTACACTCCTGTAATTACATTAGCAAGGCCTAGTAACCTCATGAGTTTTAAGGAGTTTGGAAAGTTTGAGATTTCTCAGTTTGCCATTTGGCTCAAGGAGCTGTCTGCAGATGACATAGCGGGTGTTTACCAAGATGGACACGCTTTTCTCCATCAGAACTTTGTTCTTTGCTGTCATTTCAAATCAGGTAGTGTAAACTTCTTGCATTTTGTAGTTAATTATGTTGAACTAGATATTTCTGTTGAGAAAGGTCAAATTGCTGGGTGACAAGAAAATAGGTGCAGTACAAATTGCAAATGTTAAATGCAGTTTTTGAAACTGATTTTGAACTATGTTTATAATAGAGCCGTTTCAACTGAATGTGGCAAAACCAAGACCAAAGCAATTCCACAGGCCGATCAAAAGAAACAACCTAACAAACCAGCGAGAACCCATAGAAAATACACGTGACTCTCAAGAAAATGCACGTGACTAAGTCGTGATTGGTTGTTTTTTTTTTTTTTTGCATCTTATTAGTTAAGAGCTAAGTTGGTGAGCGTTTTTTTAACCAATCACTGAACACAATAAAGTAAAACCAAAAATATTCGGGATTGCTTTCGTCTCTCAAATAAAAACCACTCTGTTAGTGTCAAAATTAGATTAATTTCTAAATTCGAGTTTTATACTGAGAAGACAGACGAGATTTATACTTGAGACTTTACTCATTATTTAACACCATTAGTGTGTACTTTTAGTGAAATCTTGCGTCACAAATCCTTGTGTCGATGCTGACCAGTGTCGTAAACCAAGCGACTCCAGTCCTGCCGAGGAAGAGTGCATTTGTCCAAGTGTAAACCTACGACTCAAAACATGCGAAGGTAAATAATTATTATATATGATGCAACATATCAGTCATTATGTAAAAAACTAAATAACATTTTCCACGGTAGACACTCTAAGATAGTGTTTTGTTTAGACACTGGACACTCCGCGTACCATTTAGTACCTGAGTATAAGATCAAGACCTTGTACCGGAGCACGGGCACTGTGCCCCAATTCTAGCGTGAGCACTTGAAAAAAGATGTGATCAGATCAGTGCTTAGCGAGAATTGTACTCTGGTACCGTGCTCGGGTACCAGTGTGTGCGTAGCCTAATAAACCATGGAGAGGAACGTTATCAAAATCTCCCGCACAGCTCCTTGGAACCAATGAGCCTAGTGGTGGTTCTCATTGCAATGGGCTTTGGAACTTTTGTCGTGTCATTTCTTGTCAATGTGTAAATAACTTGGTTTTAATTTCTTCCAGAAAAGATAACCGGAGAATGTGAAGACAAAAGTACGGGATGTAGAGATTTCGCAGCACAGTCTCGTTACTGCGAACACAGAAAAATGCGTGAAATATGCCCTAGATCTTGTGATTACTGTGGTAAGTGAGCTTTTGCCTACTTCCCTTACCAGGTTTTTAACTAATAATTAGGATGCGATTTGAAAGTATGTTTCAACTGTTTCTGTCATGTCTTGGTACTCAGCCCCCGAGCATCCTTCCACAACGCTGAAACCAACATTAAAGACCGCCTCATCGTCCATGTCCAGAGTCTCGCGGGAATCTAGGGAGCCAACCCCACTCGTCCCGACAAACTCCCGTCCCGCGGGAAGCGGAGCAGCAAGTAATCCAACCTTATGGCCGCAAACGCCGACGAGACGAAGATTGCCGCGAGGTGGGTCATTATACCATCGTGTGACCTGAGAGTTTACTTTTTAAAAACAAAGTGGTAGAGCTATGAAAGAAGTCGCTAAGATCAGACATACCACGCCTGTCTGAGTTCCAGTGGTAGTATAAGCCACAGTGACTTCAAGCTGTTCCTGATTGCATCAACTTGCCCACTGCTACGTCTACGAACCTTCAGAAATAATTCAAGTTTGTGTCTCGTAATCGGAGTCAATTTTTGCAGATCTCTACCTTTGTTGTTCCTTTTTGCGCCGGTCTTCATTTATTTCCCAAACTATCAAAGCCTCGGTTAATTATCTTACACTAGACAGAATGTTAACTAGTCTTTATCTACTAGAACGTTGTAATCCCGACAGGGGTAGGGAGAGCGCTATTGTAGATATCGACCTCGTTTCAACACAAGTAAAATTTGTAAAATTATTTCTTCATCTCCTTTTCCGCCAGGAGAATCTTGTGAGGTCCTTGAGTGCCAGTACCATGCAAAGTGTTTCCAAACTACAAACGGGTACGCTGAATGCAGGTGCCCTCAGTGTCACCCTGAAAACGCCCCCGCGCGAGAGGCCTACGTGTGCGGAGACAACGACAAATCGTACCTTACCATGTGCGTCCTTAGATTGGAATCCTGTCTCCTTCAGACATGGATACAGAAAAAACACGACGGGTTTTGTGGTAAGTAAGCATTACTGACTTTAGCAAAAACGACTGGTATTCGAACGTGCACTTATACCAAATGAGAGTGTACTAGCTGGTGAGAAGAAGGAGAAAGTTTTGTTGGGGCCTGAGGCGAGTAGGTTGCCGTCCCAAGCACTCTCTCATATTAGCTCCAAACCAGCCCCAGCCCCCTTCCAATGAGTGCTTGTTAGTCAAGTCTCCTAGGTTGTGAGGGAAAGGGTCAAATGACAGCACAACGAAAATGGGTTTAAAAAACTGGCCCTTCTATCTTCGAGCATTATCGAATATTCGATTTTGTTCTCCTTTTTGACTGTCAGAAATATCGTTGGTTATTTTTGAGAATGAAGAAGTTCATTCTGAATAAGAGCGGATTGATTTATATCAGAGCTGACCGTCACCAGTGCTATAATTAGTCTTAACTCTAGATATGCCCGGCACGTGACGTTCATAGTTGTTTACAATATCGTCTCTTGCAAAATCCTAATATTCGTTGCCTCTGTCCCAGTATATAAGACTGATATAATGTCCGACTTGCGCTGCTTAGCATATATAACATTTTATACCATGCCGTAGAAAATACAGCCAATCAGAATACTTGAAAGTTGTTGTGTGTTCGACGGTATTACATCCAACCTTCCCATCATGCCCCGCGCGTGTGTCGCATTGATTGCGTTCGCCACTGTATTTTCTATGGCATGATATAAAATAGTTATACAACGCCCTCTTGGGTTATACCGTGCAATATCCCAATTGTCACTCGTATTTTGTTGGTATACACACTCGTATAAAGGCTCGTGTGTACTACGCGAAAATTCAAGTGACTCGTGGGGTATCCCATTGTACACCACTCGAAAACGTTGAATAACTAGTATGCATGTGTTGTACCAAGTTATCGAAAAGCCCTTGTTAACCCCACAACTTTTTACAACCGATTTTATTGAAAAAAACAACCTACTGAGGCGTGTTTCCTACTAGGTTTGCCTCTGAGGCCAGCTAACGTAAACTTCAAGATAATTCTGATTTCAGTGATAAGCGGATAAAAACTGAAATACGTCAGCTCTGTAATTTCCCAAAGAATTATCTTATTTGGGAAGATGATAATTACATTATTTCCTCTTCGGTAATCAGACATAACTTATCTTATGTCCAGACACATTTTGTATTATTTTTAGTTAGTTTTAATAGGATTAGCCCTCCAAATCTTTTTTAGGACTCAACTGAACTGAAAAAAGATAAGCTCAAGGAAAATTGAGCTGAAAATTCATTTCGGTTTTTTAGGTATGTGGCGACATAATGCCGTATAAGTACAGCACATAAGCCAACCTTGCTTGGTCGTTCTTTCTTGTTCCCAGTCCCTCCCTACCTCCACAGGGTGAAAAGAAGAGAGAGCCTGGGAATGAGGTTGGTCAAAGCTAACCTGAAAATACTCTTGTGACCACCTTCCCAGTCGATTAGCATTAAAAAGACAACAGCAGATACACAAAGAGTCATTTTTTGTAACAGAATTAATGCAAATACAAAAAGGACTCCTACCACGGCTTTGATTTGCGTGGTGCGTGAACTGTTTTTCACTATTTGAACTTGAGTTTTTTGATTGTGAAATACTTTGCTGGAGAGATCGTTAATTTTTTATTGGGTTTTAAAGATTGTTGGCTCATTTACCTTTATCTATAACTTTAGCCGGAGAGACTTTTCTGATGAGATAAGTAAATGAGATACACTCCAAGCTAATCTTACTTGGTCGAAAACCTACTTCCCTTTATCATGGTTCATTTTTTATCAGATTTTACGGAGCTAATCTCTTTTGATATTTTATCAAATATTTAAGTCTTAGATGCTTTTTCTCCTCGTGATATAAGTAAATGATATGCTCACGTCTGAACAAATACCTTAAATTTTTTCAGAGGTTGCCCCTGTTTTATCATTTTATCTCTAGCTTCATCCCGAGGTTTAGGTAAGCGATATATTCCTCGAACTTATCTAATGCACATCACGGTTTCAAACAGACAGACACGCTTCAGCTAATTTCAGTTGTAAATTGCTCTTGAATGTGAAACTGGACAAAATGTGGACGCTCGATATGGCGTTAAAATCGGATGAAAGCTTTCTTGGACGTGTCGTTTAGTAATTTGTAATGAAACAATTGTGTCAGGCGTTACAAACCGTATCGTGCTACACATTGTGATTTATATAATGCACGCAGAGTATTTAATATAAACAACGATATTACTTCATAAACTCTCGACACGAAAGGTGTGTTCCTAAATAATTAAACATCAGAAAACAGAAATATAAACATTTAACATTTCCGCTGAACGAAATCGATGTGCAACGGACAATTTCGTATTTGCGAGAATTCACTAGGCGTATTTATCTTTAACAGTTTATACAGAGAAGAATTTTTCTTCAGTTAGATAAAAAGTAAAAATTGTAAACTTCGTTGTTCAGTCAATGTCGCTCTCTTTTTAATTTTTATTTTCATACACTCAGCTCTGATTAGTTAAAGGAACGAGATTTAAGATATTTTCAGTTATTAAAAATGTAATTTTCTTCGACCTTTCAGTTAAGAAAGAAATGTGCGAGAAATGACAAATATTCTTCTATTGTAGCATCAAGGTTGATCTCAAATGACTTTTAAGAACCTGAAAACTACAATGTTCTATGTATAAAGAAAGACTGTATTTTTTGCTTACAAAGATGAGGGATATTAGAGGCAGATTGAGGCGAAAATCATGCAAGAAAAAAGAACTGCAGAAGTGCAGATGTCCACCTTATTGTTAACAATACAAAGCTATCTATGGTAACCTTTTCTCCTTTCAACTCTTTTTGTCATCAACCCAATTATTGTGACGTTACAGAAAGCCTGAAACAATAACTGTGAAAAGAGAAGTTTAAAAACATGAACATAAGCCACGCGAACACTAAATATGTTTTTTTTTGTGATCATTGGCTTTGGCGAGTAAACCATTGCACTGTTGCGGTTCAGTGAAGCCATTAGAACGTTCGATACACATTAAACGGGTTTTCTTTTCTCTGTGCTTCTTATGGAATCTTTAATCAGTTCATTTTTATCGTTCAAGTGTAAAACTCTTAGTCTTGTAATCGATTAAAGTGAGGTAGAGGTTTTTTATTTGAGAGCTCCATTTTATAGTCTCTTTCAGTGTGATTGTTACAGCTAAGTTCCCATACTCTGGACAATAAAAATTTCTTTACGTGGAAAAAGGTATCGAAACAAATTCATCGGTATAAGTTTAAGGTTTTGGTTTCGTACACCGTACTAACTCGGATCGATAAGAGTGTCATTGCACGAGATAATTAGACAACGGTAACTTCCATAGCAGATCAGTGTACACTGATAAATATTTGATTAGAAAATTTCTTTAATGTAGGCATAGAAAATAAGATCTTTCTTCTAGTTTATGACAGAATGAAATTGTTTGTGACAAACTCCTCTTGCAGATCTTTTGTCTGACTTTGTCTAGGTTTTAACGTGGATTTTAATTTAAACACATTGACGTAAATCTTAAGCCATTGGTTCTCTACACGATTGTTTGAAAATTTTTCATTTGGATTCATTTAGCAAAATAAAAGACAGCTCAGGAAGCGTATATAAGGCCCTTTACCTTTCCAGAACTCGCGAAGCCGCAGTTGATGGCTGCAATTCGTAATCAGATTGAGACAAAGTAGTGCTAAGTGATATTGACACTTTTGCCACAGAGTTTCAACAACATTAGTGAAAACTGAAAATGAAAGCTCTTCGCGATCAGCGGTGCAAATTAAAAACCGCTTTTTCTGCTTCCGAAGTTAGTTAATTAGCATTTTGAGCCGCGATCTCTCAGATCAGCGATGAATAAATTATAAGCTTTCATCTGTATTGAAAAACACAGGTGAAACAGGAATAAATTCTTCCAACTCCGCCGCTACGTGCAGAAACAGCGACATGGCTCCACCGATACCTCAATGGCTTCCCTTCCCACGGTTTGATATCGACGTCTAAAAGGAAATGAAATCGCGAAGTGCTCAAAATACACCGAGAATCGAGAATCCAGCCTAAATGTAATTAGTTTGCGGCGATCTTCTCCGCTGGCTTAATTTATCGACAAATGAACTTAACTTCGTACTCTATAGTAATACTTTTCCTGTTGATCGCTTGCCTGACTTCAATTGCCCGTGGAAGCCGCAACGGACGAAAACACAGGAAAGCCCGGTTTGAAACATTTCAAGGTTGGTGAATATTTCCCGTGCCGTGAAATCCTGCTATTTCTGTTCGAGTTATTAAAGCATGCATTTGACGTATGGCGCTGAAAAAACCTTCCACGAAATGTTTTTTATTATTTCTTTTTCTAACGAGCGTTGCCGATTGCACCTAGCTGACGCATGATGCCGCAAAAAAAAAAATTACCCTCTCATTTACAAAAAAACTATTTTGTCTTGTCAAAATCATGGCACTATTAAAGAGAAACTCTACAAAGCTGGAATAAAGAAAGGAAGTGTGATTTTTTTTAAAAAAAAATATACAGTTCCGTCGTATTTGAGGTTTTCATTGAACATGTTTCATATGCTTTCAAATTTTCAATGCAGATTTCAGTTCCATTCAAGAGCGCTGATAATTTTTTTCGCTAGACTAGAACATTACTTTTAACGTCTTTTAATGAAAACCAGATTGTGATCGATTTCTGCGTTAAGTTTATAGAGATTCTGGAGGATTTCGTAATTATTCAAGAATATATTCGTACTCTTGATATCCATAACTTCCTTCCAAAAAGTCTTTCTCGTAATTTGTCAACTTGTCGCGTGCCAACTGAAATGTCTTTCTTTTTCTGATTGGAAATAATTTTCGTATTGAATCGTGAAAAAGCGGCCATTATAATTATCAAACAGCTCCGCATGCGGTAAATTTGGTCATGTTGTGAATTTGAAGTATACATACAGTTGCAACTTCCTTTAACTCTCTTATTCCTGTTTACGTTCCGTTATGTGAATGTGTACATAAAATCTTCAACTCTCTTGAGCGGCCTGAACACGACGGTTCACAATTTCTCTTCATTTCTCCGGCAGTACTAATTTAAATTATCTTCGCCCCGCGAGAAATATCATTTTTAGTTCTCTGTTGTTGTAAACAAAAGAAGTAATGCCTTGCTCCCATGTAAAAAAAATGCTATTAACAGCTGAGGTCAGTTAAATTTAGCTCTATTCGGTTTTTGTTTCGTATCCGCTCTCTTACAAAGAAGCGCGTGTTACTAGCAACAAAACCACCGCTAGGAACAGCGTGTAAAGTAATATTGTATAATAAAGGTAGTCAGAGCTTATATAGAGTTCTTTTGTGTTTTGCGAGATAAAAAATGAAATTCTTTCAAATTTGAAATGCATTTCCAACAACTTCTTCAAATTGTCACTTTGATTCCTTGAAATCCTTTTCAATAAGCTTCATTAGATATTAATAAATTAAAAAGGAAAAATTTCGAAAACTTAGGGCAACGATTTTAATGTGTCTCACTTTTCTAAAAGCTGTTATATTTGATATCAAAGTTTATTCTCCTTAAATGAAAGTTATTGCACTTTTATTCAATGAGCAGCCGTATTTACATAGAAAACAAAATGCACGGGCCTATTTTACAAGAATCTTATCGAATATAACCTTAAACATAAATTGAAGGAGACCAAACTGAAAATAGGCAAAACCCAATTACATCTTGTGGGTTCATTGGTTTGAAGGATTTTCCAACTGGATTACAATGGTGTTAAAACGAGAAAGTGACAAGCCTCAAGTGCGCAATCGTCTTTATTATTTTTGTTTTTCTTGTTTTCGAAGCAATTTGACACATGAAAGGTTGTTCAGCATGTTACGAGCTAGGACAAAGAAAAACCCTACAGACTACCCGACGGGATTCGAGTCCATGACTCCGGGATACCGGACGGGCGCTCTGACCGTTCGTAAGATAATCTACAAATTTAAATATGGCATGGTGTGAAAATTTGAATAGCACAAATTCTTCCGCTCCACAAGTTATGCTCTTGAGACAAATATATACATACCGTAAAATCCCACTTTAAANAGGCTTCGCTGGCTTCACTAAGGTCCATACCACCTGGGCACAGTGCTGTACCATTTTCTAGACCACTTCCGCTCTGTCTACGCACCCGATTTGTTCTTCCTGTAAAACAACCAAAGAAGTAATTCATGCAAATTGTCTCCCGGGAGGGGGGGGGGGGGGGGGGGGGGGGGGGGGGGGGGAGGCATATAAGCGGAATAAAAATATGTTTCGGAACGACGAGATAAAACGAATCTGAGAAATAAATTAAAGCTAACATACCATTACATCTAGAGCTATTACATATATAATACATTTATGAAACGCAAAAGGAAGGCACTTATACATCAGATGGGCTTATATCTGGGGCTGCTTATCTCCGGAATAATATCTCTGTTAGCGAATGAAAGGGCTTATATCCGGTGGGGCTTATAACCGGGGAGTTTTACGTGGAATTTTACGGTATTTTTTTTAGACCAACCTTTCTTTTGATACCACTTTAAGATCGGAGAAACGCTACGCTTGTCGCGTAAAACTTAATAACGCACCGGAAATTGACAATGCTGAACCGGTTCCCAGGCCCTTATCTGCACTTTACTCCCAGCGCCAAGTGACCTTGAGAGGGGCCAAGAATCAATATACCCATGATTTTGACATCGCTTTAATCATGTTAATTAAAATATGATCTTTTTCTAACCCTTAGGCGCGCGATACACCCAAGCGAATCACTATCTGCCGTTGAATGGCACGACAGCACAGAAGAAGCTCCTTGACCTGCGCGGTAATGCATCCGGTGCTACCGAGAATGGAGTCAAGCAGTCGACCGCTGACCAGATAGGATACGTGTTGACACTGGACGGTATTGATGACTTTATAGAACTGAAGAATATAAAAGACCAGTGTGTCGTGGATCCAAGCCTTTGTAGAGAAGGATTGTCAGTGGCGTTTTGGATAAAATACAACGCAGGTGAAAATCTTTAGTGCAGTACAGTGTTAATTATAGAGCAATCGTTGATGCCGTCATTGTTTACATTTTTTTTCATTAGCATACGACTTTGCACAGAGAAAGCATCATGTTAGGTACAAATTGACCTCTAAAAATTTAAACAGCTTTTGAAACTTAGTTACTGAGTGACATTTTTGGCTCTTTGGGTGTAATATTGGAGAAATTGTCTTTCAATAACTGCAAAATTTCTTGGTGGCAAAGGCGCTAATGGGTTCATACATTGCAAGTGAATATATGAAAGACCATATATTTGAACTGCGGAGAAAGATATGAAGACATGATTGGTCATCGCAGTTGTACACACAACTTAAGCAGTTGTAAAAAAACATTTTAGTTTTTAAACCGGCTCGAGTATCACAAAAAAATATTCAGTACATCAAGCTAAAATTCCTTGGGCCAGCAAATCTTACTATGCCCTTTTAATTAATGATCCGCGTAACAAGTAGGCTGGCACTTGGCAAAATCGATTTAAAGGTGAGAAATAATAATTTTTTACTTCAGTTAAATCGGTGCATGTGATTGGCTGATATCGCAAAATCGTAGAAAAAAAAACAATAAAAAAGTGGCATCAGCAACATATTTTCATGCCTTGTGCCCCAAAGATTCCTCCCCAGTATAGCTTACTGCTTCACGATGAAAAGAAGCCTTCTGATTGGTCGTCTAAGCCATCTGAATGTTACCTAACGGACTACCTATGAAGTAGCAGAATCCTTGTTTTTAATATTTGGCTCATTTGCAGAAGCGCTTCACTTTATGATTGAGCTACTACAGAAATATCAGCTCTGAATATTGAAAGGGTCACATGGTCTGAAATGGGCCAACAAACCGGCTAGGCTAAAAAGGTCTATTATTGCTTACGATTGTTTGTAGTTTAAAAAACCATTAGAAACGTAAGGCTTTAAAAAGCGCTGCGCTTTTTTTAGACGGTCTGGAAGTTTGTAAACTAACAAGGAGTAAATGGTAAAAAAAAAAAATTCAGTGAAGGTTTCTTAGCCAATCACACTACGCCGGAGGAATTTGAACACACAGCTTTATTTCTACGGTTAGGCCTTCCGTCCACAACAATCCGTCACGATAACGGAGCTTTTCAAAAACGCTCTTCAAACCGGAGGAATTTGAAAACGCCGGTTTTTCGTTTTCGTGTGGACGGAAAACATTTTGAAAACGGAGCTTCTCGAAAACGATGACGTCACGATAATCATGTGATTTCCCTGACCGAGTTTTCCTCAAACACAAATCCAAAATGACCGGTGATTGTTGCGTTTTTAAATTCCTCCAGCCTAGTGTGGTCGGAAAACATTTGATGCGCTTTTAGCTAGAGTGAAACCTCCGTTTCCAGATTCCTACGGTGTAGTGTGGACGGGGTCTGAACTTACCTTTTCTATCCCCTCTACAGGTAAATTTATTATTTCCAGTGGACAATACACCAATGAGAATTTCGGTCCCGGATTTCGGTTCATTTGTGAAAACTGCTCAAAAAAGAAAGGACCTCACCTGTATCAGTCAAGAAGGTTTCAGCTTGAACTCTCCACGATAAATCACAAATGGACAATTCTGCTCGACCATGTCCCAAGGTGGTGGTTTCATTTTGCTTTCACCTGGAATCACAAGCGTGGGTTGAAGTTTTATAAAAATGGCCAGCTTGTTGTAAGCAGCAGTAACCCAGAGACGGTAGTTGATGGCAAGGGTAGGGCCAATGATGAAATTACCATAGGTAAACCGAATAAGCTGATTGATATGATTAGCAAAAATGGTGACCTTAGCATCGCTCATCTTGTTATTTGGACGTACGAACTGAGTAAATATGATGTAGAAATCGCTTTCCTCTCTGCTCTGACGAAGACGAAGAACTCACTGAGATGCTGTCAAACCATGAAAGGTGAGTTAGCTCGTTATATCAAATAGTTTTTATCGTAGATTGTTGTAATTTGTACGGCTTCGTGGAGGAGCACTATTACAGTCGATAAAAAAAAAAATATCTGTTACTATATTATGATGAACAAAAAGTAGGAAGTTTAAGTAATCACGACGGCGACGTCGAGGACAACGTCGATAAAAAAAAAAAAAATGATTTTATATTTTACCTCCGAATCTCACGATACCCTAAAGTCATTTAGTTCTTTTTCTCTTTGTTAAAACTATCACAAAACTGAATCTGGGGCACAACGCATTTAAATGGCATCCTGAAGCTCTATCGGTGATTTGTTATGAAAGGAAGGGGTGGGGGTTGGGGGCTAGAATTCTACAGAAAGCAGGGAAGAAAAGAGGGCTGGAGATTCCTTGTTCAGTGGTAGAGATTCTATGCCGGATCCATTGAAGCCTCTTTAAATTTTAGTCCCTGTATAATCTGCTGAGATCTCTTTCTAACTGTTGCTGATTCGGATGAAAACGATATCCAATTTGTACCTGTAAATATGAAATTCATTTTCCATGTGCTGACATTTTGTTTTCCTTACAAAGATGACCCCTGCTTCAGAGACCCTTGTCGTGGTGGTGTAGAGTGTCAACAGATGGAGGACAGGTTTAAATGCATTTGCTCGGACATCAACCTTAACAGCGCTTGTTTGAGAGGTAAGTGGTTTTTGTAATTTTAAGTGGCCGCTGACTTAGGGTTTTAAACTGGACGAGACACTAGCGTTATCAGGGAATAGTGGATCATACTACAGACTATGGTATAGAACTATTCAGTTTATACTATTAAACCATTACCTAATCATTATTAACAGAATTTTACTAGTATACTAATGCAAATGCTGCAATCTGATTGGTTAATCAGCCATTATCAGCCAATAGTGTGCAGTGGCTGAAGGTCGTCCACATAATGACAACGTATTCTCGTTTCTCCGTCGTTTTGAAATAGATTTAGAACAATTTAAGTTACCTTCAAGGAACAGTTTGAGCTACAGTCAACCTTGCATAAGCCTGGCGTGCCTGATATTTGAATTGACCAATCAGGATTCAGCAGGCGGAATTTTGACGAAGCCATTGCATGTTTTAAACGGGAAAGGCACTAAAGTCGGGCAACTTTTCTCACTGGAGACGGCATTGAATCATTGAATATTCACGAAAAGGGATTTAAAATGCCAATAACCGTATCAGATTGTAGAAAGTGAAAAATATCAAGCATTCTGGGTCCAAGGTTTCAATTTGGCGTCAAAAATGGGTCGCCNTTTCCTTAAACCGATAAGAAATGCAACGAAAACCGTAGAAGTAACGCAATTTGACGCTTTCTAAGACTTCGGTTAAGAGAAACTATTTGTGAAGCGGGTTGCACTGTAAGCTGAAGTTGATAACCATGAAATTAAATCTTTTTCATGGTCTTTAGAACTCTCTACATGCTCAGATGCCCTAGTTACCTCTCTTTGATGTGCAGCGGAGATTTTATCGTTAAGTGAAGACTTATAATCTTATAATTTCTTCAAATAACAGAGACAAGATCTTCTTAAAAGAGCCTTCAGCTTACTACTGATAAACACACAGGTCTTCTTTAGATCCAGGCTTCTTCGCTGTCGTCGACGTTGCTCGGTCAAACAAGTAAAGAGGGAACTTTTAATAACCGCCATTTCAATTGTAACAAAGCGGCGATGTTAAACGGTCATAAACGAGACTTTATTGGAAGGAAAACCACATCGAGTCTAGAAAATCAGGAAAAACGTTCTGTGAAGATTTTGCCATGAAAACTCGTATTGATATCACGATAAACGAAAAAGATTAAATGTAAGTTCAAAATATTTACAAATGCATTCTGAAAATTTATTCAAAAAACCGTAACCGTAGTGTTTTCGTGTAGGCGCAAAACAAGAGCGAAATTGCTTTTCTGTAATTTTCGATAAAATTGTCGACAATTTGGCTCTCTACATTGTAAGTAATGTGATAATGGTCCAAGCTAAATTTGAATAAGCTAATATTATGAAAATAGTTTTTAATTACATCGAAAGCACTATGAACGAGGTGAAATGTATTTTTAAAAAGGATTTAAATGACGAAAAGAATTGAGGTAATCTTATCTTTTCTGTCGAATCTTCCAGTTTATTATTGCATTTGTTAGTTTTCAAAAGAGCTTTTTATTCAGTAATAATAGAAAATTCGTCCTCTCGGTTTTTAAAAAGGTATCCCGCCTCCGTGCTTGGCAAAAAGAAAAAACTGAATATTTAATAAAACGAGTAAGTCATTAGTTTTTGAAATCTTAAATATTCGTATGTATATTTGTGCTGTTTTCCTGTCCGTGTGGTTTCGTGTTTGGTAATAAAATTCTATTATCTTTGTTGCAATCACAATTAAGAGTTTTTATTGGTAGCAAGGAAAACGCTGAGAGAAAGTCGAATTGTATTTCTTAAAGCCACTGGTCGTTCTATATGAAAATTACAGCGAATTTAACATATAATCATAATCAGTGAGAAACTCTTAGGCCATCGAGCGCCATGTTATTGGCCTAGGTGCTAGCGCCACCTGTTTCCAGAATTACTTGTGTCAATCAGAATTGTTTACTTTTCTGTCTGTTTGAACAAGAGTAGAAGGTTAATAACTCGATATTGCATTGGCAGTCATCTTGTGCTGGAGCCAAGATACTGTATCGTCCTCGGCGGGAGAAATGTGCGGTTATTTGGGCGCGACATAGCCCTTGTTTTTGCAAGCGGTTGTGTAGAATGAGAGTTTAAGGTTCTCGCGGTCGACAACTCGCTTGTTTGATATGTTGTCCTTAAAAGCTGCATCTAGCAAGGAGACTGTTTCCGCGTGGGAAATCGAGCTTAAGTGTCATCTGTTGGCCTTTGTCTTCTTTGCTATGACCTACTGCGCAACTTGCGAACCTTCCAGCTTGTTTTCTACGAAGAATTCTTCCACCATTTTCTCGCCACTGCAATCTGTGTTCTTGACCTCGACGCCAAATCTCGCTGGCGTAGCCTACGGACAAACTCTTCCGCTCTCGCCTCCAGAACAAACGAACATGGAAACAGCTATTAATTCTGTTAACGATAGATTTCTTTCTCAATTTGGCGTCTATACAGGAGACCACAAGCCGGTAACTATACGAGCAACACAAGGTTTAAGCTCCTCAAGCCTTAAAACGAACGCTCCAATCGTGGAAGCAACGCCATCCAGTCACACAGTGTGGCACCCACTTCAAAGTGAAAACCGCAACGCTCGACAAAGTACGAGAGGAGGAGGCGCAGCTCAAAATCTGCAAACCTCACAATTCACGAGGGAGAGATCTACAATTGGGACTATTCTAAGCACGGCGGTGAAGTCAAGCTACATGCAAGACAACACAAACTCAAGAACGGCGAGCGAAATAACCAGTGCGTTTGGTAACATAGAAATGAGTAACACGCAAACAGCATCACCTTATAGCGATATTTCACCTACAGGGTCTTTGCCGGTCATTATCGCGCAAACGGCTTTATTGCAGAGTTCTTTTACGCTGTCCAAAAGTGCGAGGTTTTCGCTAACAAGCGAACCTGAGCTTGCTCAATCAATATCGTCCTCTCATGAAAAATTCACTGATTCGGTTTACAGATTGACGCTCAATTTGCATGTAGCGAGTAACATGTTTAGTTCAGATGATTTATCGCCCGGAATAGCTCGCATTAAATCAACATTTTTATCGCATTACTCTACAGGTACTGCCAAACAGGTGCAAAGCGTTTCCAGTGCTCTGCCTTCAAAAGTGATACAAACTCGCCGCATTACTCCGTCTTCTGCTGCACCGCAAGAGTCTTCTGCATCTTCCGCTGTTCAGCAAGACTCGTCATCACTCTCGACTACTGCGGCCATAACAAAAGACTCTTCATCTTCCATAATTACTGCCGTGCCTGGAGATTCATCATCCTTTACAAGCCCAACCTCTCTCACAAGTACTGCTTTTAAAACGTACTCTAAATCTGCCTCGTTAAGACATCACATTCACGCTACAACAGCGACTACTGCAAGCTCTTTTGCAACAATAATACGTTTTACTTCAGTGCAACCATCGTTGCCATCGTCGGTTACTGTGCAAGAGAGGCCTTCATTAACTTGTAAAGTAAACAATATGGCATGCGTTTGTTTTAACTGCAACCAAGCGCGCAAGACATGTTGTCAGGATCTTATCGACCTCACAAACATTCAGCAAGGAGTAAAAATGACCATGGCAGACATTACCGTCGAGACATTTCATCAAAAAGTATCGAATGTATCTCGCGTTATAGCAGAAGAAATCTTGGATTCATGCAAGTCCAATTCGACTCGTTGCCTTAGCAGCGAAAAGTCATTTGAAACGACGGGTCTACGTAAGAAACGTTCGCCGGAAACTGATTTGTTAGAAGACTATTCTTCTTCAAATAGTGTAAAGACAAAAAGGGAATCAGATTCGTATATTTTTATTCCGCAAACTCTTAGCTCATCCGTTAACAAGGAAGCACTTCGTCCTAACATAAACCCCTCTAAGTCTAATATCTCTCGTGTCAATGTGATAATTTACAGTATGTCCTCCAAGTCTGGACTTCCACATAGAGTTGAAACGACATTTTACGTCACTGCGACGTCCATTATCAACGGAACAAATCTAACACGAGTACTTGATGGCAAAGGTTTGATTCAAATTCTCAGGGATAAGAAACGCATGCTTGAGAATAGATTAAATATAACCATTGACTCGTTCTCAGCTTCGCAGTCGAAACCTTCTGAACCAACAAGCTTGCCGTTTAACACAACACTGGTGCCCAATCCCTCTCCTGGAAGAGATAACCAACAGACGTCCTTGTCCACCCCTCAAGGTAGGATTTTTGTAACACAGTGGAGCGAGACTTTTGTGATAGCAAAAGATGCTTTGATCATTTCTTTAAGACAACGTCATTCAGTCGAGGCTTTTTTTTAAAAGGAGCAGTGTTGTGACCTGCGCATGCGCGATATTGATTTCTACAACACCATCTCGATCGGGGCCTCACCTTTTTGGCTTGTGATTGCTAATTAAGACGAACAAGACGCAGGTATAGGTTCGAGTCCAGAGGCCGATATAGTCGGTACTTATCGCATGAAGCGACTAGGAGTATCTACTCCCCCCTGGATGGGGTGCCAGTCCACCGCGGGGTTACCCCCAGTGTTAAGTTTGCCGGTACCCATTTGTACACCTGGGTGAAGAGGGGCGCTGTGAGAGTATTAAATTGTCTTCTCCAAGAACACAATGCAATGCCCCCGGCCAGGGCTCGAACACGGACTGTTCAATCCGATCCATGTCGACCACACTAAGTATCAGGCCATCGCACCTCTCACAAGACGCAGAATGAGCAAAAATAAACAGTAAAGGCAACATCAATTCCCATTCTTTTTACTTCGATTCATAACCAGATATATTACTCTTCAAACATATTCTATTTTGAAAGTTTACTTCTCTTTACAAAGTTCTCCTTACTTGTCTTGCCTGACCTCTTTAGGTTTCTCGTGCTCACGCAGTTCATTGCACTGTTCCAATAGAAGTAACAAAAACTTGTTTTCAACAGGCCTCGCACATAGTTCAGGCGATTTTGTGGTTCTTTATGCTGACTTTATGTAAGTTTTCCACTAGAGATTGAAACTAACACTGTGTGATAACTTCTTCGTTCTTACGGGCTTAAACTGACTTTCCCGAGGGCCAGTTATAAAAGGGGGCGGGAAAGTAGAGCATTTCACTTTACAGGACGAATAAAACATAACACCACCTGCTGATTATTGACGAGCGTTTTGTTCTGCGACGGCCATTTTCAGTTTTTATACGTGTTCACCTGGTGCTAGACCGGAACCATGACATCTTCGGAAATCGCTCGGAGTCTGTTATTACTTTCAGAGTATAATCTCATGTCCCGAGAACAGTCCGTATTTTGTCTTTCATCCTAGATCCCGTAATTTCTCGGCTCCAGATTTCCACCAGATGACGTCGTTTTACAATTGAACGTGGTCGCTCCTGAACAAATTGGAATATTTTTTTTCTCGATTTGAGTATTGTGTGTATCCGCTGAGGGAAATTGGTGGAAACATTTTAGTAATTTTGCTTCTTTCAATTCTCCCAATTTCAAAGCCTTGTCTGATATTGTCTAATTTCAGTGCCCACAACCGCTGTGGCCGGTCAAAGTGAGGAAGATGACAAGGAAGGTGTTTCCCAGTCAACCCTCATCCTCATCGTTTGCGCAGCAATCGGGGGCCTGGTACTACTTGTCGTTTTGTTGGTATTCATACTAACGCGCTTTTACCGGTAAGGGAAAGAAATTAACACGAGTCTTCCAGGAGTTAACGCGTATCTTGGCTGACTTTGCAATATGAAGAGATTGCTCTCTTTCCCTTTAGCTATTAGAAATAACCAATATAATTGAAAGAAGTGTTGGTCTGAAATTTAACGAAAATATTTGAGGATTTTGAAAATCACCGTGACAAGTCACGCACAAAAAAAATTTTGCGAAGGATGAGCCGAGTGCACCGAAATTAAATTTATAGTTATTTAAAAAAAACGAGTCTACCTCAAACCAAGATATTTAGTCCACCACTATACAAGATACAACAGAAGTGAATGAAACCCTGTAAATTAACAATATATGTTTATTTTTTATAAAAAGACATGACGCAGAAGGCTTTCGTTACAAGTAACTTTAACAAAGCTGGCTTAGAAACGTTTTCCAAGATTCCTAGCATTCGTCATGTAAAGTACATCAGGTGTCCTATCTTATGGCACCCATTAGTTGTGACAGTTTCCTTTCATTGTCAGAGAAATGTCATTTTATTGAAAGGAAAGATAGAAGGTCATATCTGAAACATTTTTTTTAGAAATTTTCAGTATAATCGAGCCAAGTATATCCCAAACATAAAATTGACCAAATTCGGTTCCTGTAAATTTCGTATTCGTTACACCATAGTTGCGCTGTTTGCGCATACTTCAAAGAGACATATGAACTGAATTATCAATCGATAGCCCTCATTTTCTTTCTGTATGGCATTTAGTTACGTCTTCCATACAAAAGAGTGTTATTTGTTCTGCTTACCGTATGTCTAACACGTGTTATAAGTTCACGAGTTAACCGACGAGCCCTTTGTTTTTTTGGTAACCCACTCACACACTAACCGTACATATTTCAGTTTTAAAGTTTTGGTTTTTGTGTAACTTTAGAGTAACCAACATTTTTGTCTTGTATGACAATAACTGGGGATGAAATGGCGTCATAAAAGGCCAAAGGTTTATTTAACCTAGCTGTCTTGTGTTGAAGCAGGTAGCAGATGGCCTTTAAGTTGCGCTCATGTAACGAATTTTCAACATTTCGTTTTTATTTCTCAGGCAAAGAAAGGGGGAGTTCGTGCCAGACAAAACTTATCCTAATTCACACAGCAAGCAGAACGGCGAAGCAAGCGTCGAGGATGTGGAAAATATTGCGTCATTCATAGACCCATCGGCCCCCCGAATCACTGACGTCCCACACAAGCCAGCTAGGAGCCAGTCTTCTGCTGGTGGAGGCGGCGGCGCTGGTGGAAAGAAGCCCAAGAAACCAATGGGTGTGAAGATTACATATAAACCACCAAAATGGGATTAACTAACAAGGTACGGGATACCAGAAAAATAATGCTGTGAAGTTTTTGTGAGTTAGGGTGAAATGGGCAAGGGAAAGGGTGGGGAGGGCAGATAACAAGGAGGGAGGGGAGAGAACAGGGAGACGTATTTGTTTAAGTTAATAGTCCTTGTCGTAATTTGACCTACTTCAAAACCATGATGATCCCTAGATCAAAAAGGAAAGTCATCATTTCCAAAATCGCTATTTGTGGAGCAAACCGTGCTTATAATAAGAACAGATATGTGCTAAAACTACACTTAGCTAGAATCGATATATCTCAAAATATATCTAATCTACATAAGATAGAAGCTTCAAATGCTTAATTTTTGTGTTTGTTTATGGTGGAAAAACCAGGACTTGGTAACCAGTTACGCTTTATCTCCTACGGCAGATAAGAAAACAAAGAAAAAAATCATTTAGATTGGCTGTATTTTTTCACAACTTTGGGGAAATATAATGAGGAGATGATCACATATGGTTTCTTTCTTACTTATTGCTTGCGTCTTTTTTCCTCTGTTTTCAGAAAATAATTTGCTACAGATACAAAACGACTCCAGATCGCGTGGGAAATCATGCAGTCAATGGTATTTTGTTACAGACGCGGATTGGAAATTTCCAAATGTTCCCCTTCGATTCAAATCAACAAAGGAACAGTCGGCAACCAGTTTCATGCTCACAAGCGTGCTGATGTTAGAGTTGGCTCGCTATACAGGACAAGATGGCAAAAGACGTTATATTTATCCGCAGACATTTTGTAAGGTTTTTGAGACTGTTTAACATGGAATTCAATGCTGGGCATTTTTTAATTCATTCATATAACGGGATGATTTCATTTTTCATAAAAATTATCGCTGGCCATAAGTGATTAAAAATTTTTAACTGGTGAAAAAGTATTTGCAAACAATTTTAATCAATGAGCATGAGAAATAAGTAAAATACTCCTGGAATTAAATAAAATATGGCAGATGTGATAGAAAAGGAGTAAATAGACAAAGCCATTCAAAGATTGACAGTCACAGTTATCTGGTGGAATCTTAAATTCTCTTATCCGGAACAGCTCTCCTTCCAACGTCATCGCAAATTTACACAGAGTACACTACCTTAATTGGTCAAACTTGTTATTGCAAGAAAAATTACAATCAAATGAATGGAGATAACACCTAAGTAACAAAAGGAACGAGGGTTACGGAAGATAAAGTTAAAAAAAATTAGAATACCATGAACTTAGGTATCTTCTTTGATCGGGCAAACGTTTACCTTCAGTGGGAGGTTTTTTACTGAGCCGACATTGTTAATTCTCTTTGGAATTTGAAATACACTTCATATATCTGGACTGATTTGTAACCAGTACTCTGGTGTTCTGTGAAATTGTAAATTTATACCTTTATGATTTGCTTTAGAATTAAATTAATAATAACGGTCTACGACAATCAGGTTGATGCTCTTGACCATTAATTTTTGAGGGTAGCGTTCAGAACGTTTGAATTTAAGAATCTAAAAAAACTATCACTTTTGAATTTACAACAGTAGAACAGAGAATAATTATTAAGGCCAAAACACAAAAATAAAATTGGGAGGGGTAAAATTGAGAATAGCGTTTTTGCTAATTGATTGTAATACAAACAAATGAGTTTATTTATTTTCCTTTTACGGTTTCGAAATTAAACGAGCCTTTGAAAATCATAATTTTAACGGGCAAAATTAAGAAGATAGAAATTATTTTGTATTTCTCGTTGTTGTGCAACGACTGTTTGCTTGAAAAAAATTAAAATTTGAAATTCATTAGCAGAAAACTGCACGCCTTAATTTTAACAGGCCTAACTGAATACAAACGCACTTTAAGCTTCAACTTAAGAAATTTTCAGTCAGTAGAAATTTAATACTATTTCCTGTGACTATCGGGGGAACAACTGCTGATCTCTGATCTTCGGTCAACAGACTTGCACAAACACTGTCAATTATCATCATCCAATCAAAAGCTTCCACGAGCTCTCTGTCTCAAGCTGTCACGTGACTCACGTCACCTTGTCATCATAAGAAAACGTGCCGTTGCTTAGCAGCCGCTGTAATAAAAACTGCGGGTTCGGTCACGTGTTAGGGTTAGGAAGATCATTGAGAATATGCTGTTCTCCCAACTTCACATCAGGCTTCTTTCATGTTTGGCTTATATTGTAATAAAGCAAGATAAATAAAGATTTTATTTTTCTGTTTCAGTATTTCTTTCGTAAACAGTCGCCCGCCGTGCGTTCACGTGTTATTTGCCTGTGGACGTTATCTCATATAACTTGTTATTAGGCGATCAAGAAAAATTTTCATTAAAATTGTGGAATCTCTTCGTAAATATCCCTTGGCTTCTTTACTCCTCCAACACCCGCTGTCCAATCCGCGCAGAGTACAAGGGTAGATAGAATAACTGTTTTATTAAATTAAATTCGGTCGACTGGATGATGTCGATATTTCAGTTTGCTCTAAACGAAGTGTTGGGTTAAAAAAGTGGGAAAATTTGTGCGTGGTGTTCACTTTTGAAGTAGAATGAAACACGTGTTGAAAGCGAGCGAGACAGAGTTTTTTTTCTTAAATATTCCTCGTAAAATCTTTTCTAATATCTTGTACATTCTTGAAAACTGTGACAAACGGGAAGGGTTTACGCTGGAAGATCCCAATTATGGCATTGCTGAAATTTAAACGCCGCGTGCAAGTCAAATGATGCAAAATTTATATTTACCTGTTTACGAGCGAGGTCGTGATCATTAAGACTTTGCTAAAAATCGATCAAGAGCAACACTGAAGTATTAAAGGACAAAGTATCAGTTCCCAAAATTGTTTCCTAGTTGTAGTTTGTAGTTTTCGGAATAGCTTTGGACATTACTTCTTGTATTCCTGCGGTGTACAAGATGGTTCTAACTTTTAAGTCTATGGATGAAACCCTAGTGTGTGACCATTCAAATGAAAGCCGTATTGAGCAGTACTTTCATGTGGTACTGTTTATTATGTTGTACAAGGTGGTTCTAACTTTTAAGTCTGTGGATGAAACCTTAGTGTGTGACGATTCAAATGAAAGCCGTATTGAGCAGTACTTTCATGTGGTACTGTTTATTATGCTGCACAAGGTGGTTCTAACTTTTAAGTCTGTGGATAAAACCCGAGTGTGTGACCATTCAAATGAAAGCTTTTGAGCAGTACTTTCGAGTGGTGCTGTTAGCTTTTCAGAATGACCAAGTAGAAACTTTCGAATTTCTAATTTATCAAGGCTGTGCTTTTATACTGGAGATAAAAGATCTTGTGGCAAGGAAGTCGAAGATAATTCATTACAGCTAGCTATAATATTAATTATTAAAATGCTAAAAAAATGGATGTTAACTAGAGTAAAGTAACCAAAAACTTAAAAATATTTATTAACACTCAGAATTGCCCATTTACCGTGCGAACGTCGTGTGAACAACGATTTTTGTTTTATTTTAAGAAGACAGCTGTTTTCTTGGATCTTCTTTTTATCATTCTGATCACAGGGCATATTATTTTTAGCCTTAACCTCAAAACCAGATTAAAAATTAGATCAAACATAAATTTCTTAACCAAATACAAGTCTGAAAAATAATTCTGACTTGATTAAGTTAGCTTTGTGTAAAATGTACACGTAAAACTAGGAACATTTTTCTAAACTATTTTTCCTCTGATTTAATTTCGGTTAGCAATTGACTTTCATGCATGCACTTGAAATTATTTGGTCACGAAGCCGTTTAGCTTCTTGAGGACAGCAAAGATTTGCCAGTAATCCTTTATCAGAGAGCCGAAACACTTCATAAATTGCTTTTTATGAACGAAAAAGTAATGCATCAGTATATTTCTACCATTAATTCTGTCACCTTCAAATACTTGGGGCTATGAATAGCTAATATCGCCCCAAACAAAATGGCGTGGTGAATTCAAGCAAATGACATGGATCAAGCAAAGGCTATCACCTATATTAAAACTCTTGTTAAACCTCTCGTGCAACTTAACTCGCCAGATTTTATTTTATACTGACTTTTGCAAGTTGATAATTTCATAAATAAAAGGTTAGTAACATCTTTGTAAAACTTGTTCTTCGTGCTTCGATTCTTTTGAAATGGTCTTTCAAGCAATTTTGTTATCATGAAGTAGTTTAACAACCTGGGTTCTTCACCAGTTACACGAGTCATAACTGTCGAGAATCTTTTTCAGTAAAATAAACCGAAACTATTTGCAGGTAAGTGGTGTAAGGCAAGCCTTCCCGTCTAACCCAGATACCCGTTAAAAAAAAAACAAAAAAAAAAGAAAACTTAACAAAAAACATTTGAGGAACATGCTGTTACGCCTACAGACTCTTCGTACAGATTGCGGCAATAGCCGAGACTAAAAGCACAAATATGTTCTGAGTTTGCTTGTAAGGGGACCTTATAAGTACGAGGTGTCGGAGAAAAATATGACAGAGTATTAGTTTAGGGACGAGTAATACTCTTGCACTACAGACGTGTCCATTTGCACGTACACAGCCAATCGAGACTGAAATTTAAATTGGAAACTAGCTCAGCGACACAATGCTGTCAAAGTCGGTTGACAGTCATGGCAAAGTATTATGCCAAGAAAAGGTGTAGAGGTTTTAGTTCTCTGTATTGCTTCTTCACCAAATGTAGCTTCAATCATCTTAAAATAGAATGAAATGTTACTTTTTAGATATAAATTTCAAGCGAACCACATAAAATTAAATGATAATGATGTAAGGATGTTCAAATGTGTTTAGAAGTCAAATGTGGTTATGTTCGATATTAACGTGGTCAAAAGTCTGTCAGATATCGTCATGCAATAATAATAAATATTTTATCATTCTCCACAATGAGAATAGAAAACAAGTAAAATCGCCAAAAGCTAAGCTGCAATTCGACGGGGTGACTTTGTCATTTTGCTATGCGAACTAATCTTTATTGCTTTTATTTTTATTGATTTCTTCTTCCAAAATGTCTTTTAGATGTAGCCGAATCTGTTTGTTAAATTTCCAGCCCGAAAGTGCTCGAATGTATTTTCGCTCGATTGATTATATTTCAGTCTAATCCAACGCATGCGCTATATAACCAAGTAAAAACTGCTTCGTTTTGTAATAAAAGTTCAATTCAATAAGTTTGGCTCGAAGTCCGATTCACTATTTAATATTTAATTCTCTTCATTATTAAAAACAGCCTTTCCTGAAAAACAATATCAGTTCCACTTTTTAAATCCCTGGAGTTAGAGACAACGGTCTGCAATGTCTTGCTGAACATATTCAAACTTACAAAACGGCTGCTAATCAAATGAAAAATGTACTTTTAATATCTTGCAGTAATATCTCACCGATGCCGCGATTCAAACTCAAATAACTACAAATGTTATCTCGGTTAATGTTGCAAAGAAAATTAAAATTTCTTATTAGCATTGCAAGTAGAAAATTTATAAAGTTTATATTATTAATAAACCACTTCCTTGAGCTCTTTAAATAAATAACCATTCTGCGTCATTTGAGAACCAGATGGAATTGAACCCACCTTTCGGTAAAATTCACCAACTCATTATAGCGATTTGCGAAATCTGCACATAATTTTATCCAACTAGGCATTTATGAAGTTTAAAATGCGTTATAATGGTTCTGTAGTATTATCGTACACATTTCTATACGAGATTTTGGCGTGGCTATTTTTTAAAACTCAGTTTAATTATTGAACACCGAAACTGTATTATCACAAAACACCACTAGGCTTGTATCATCAGTTATTCCTCTCGTAGCGCTAGTTTTACAACTTTTAAGGCCTCAGTAAAGCAAAAACCTAGTTTTGTAAACGTCTAGTTTTCCTAAATAAAAGAGCTAGAAGTTTAATAAGTTTTGTATTGCTCAGTGCTTAGTCTTACAAATTCTGCTTTCGTTTTAAACCGTGGTTATCGCATAAGCATTTCCGTTAGCCTCAGCTTCTGGAGTGTTTCGTCTTGTGTCCGAGTTTGGCGACGGAGTGAGCAGAATTTTTTCCCCAACTAGAGGCGACTCGGCAGTCGTTGTTGTCCGGAAGATCCTCGGGAGACTCAAGCGACTTTCAAACGACTGGCTTCGTTGAAAGGAGTTGAGAAGGCGACGGCTTATTTGCCTTGCGAAGATTCTGTCATGCGAAACGCTTTTTTCTCTAACGGATATTCTCTCTAAAACGTTTCTGACAGGCCTGATATCTTCGTCGGTGACTCGGCAACATTTCGTGATGTAGGCTTTAAACGCCAGGCGAAATTCCTCGATACAGATGCTGTACACAATAGGGTTCGTACAACTATTTGCGTATATCAGAATTTCACCCCAAACAAACACTTTCCTCCCAGCCTCGGGGAAATGTTCGAAGTCACTCAGCAGCCACAGGACATGATTTGGAAGCAAACAAACTGCAAAAATCAAAACCACCACTACCATCATACGAACAACTTTCGCGACATCGCGATCCTGCACGCGGTGCGCGCGTGTCAGATTTTTTCGATTCCTGCGAAGCTGAATTGCAATCTTAATATAAACCAGTGAAATGATCGACAGTGGAATCACATACTGAAAAATAAATATAAATAAGGTGTAAACTCGGCTGTGAAGTTCAGACCATGTCTCCTCGCATCGGGAATTTCGCTTTTGTAAAACTGTGATGTAGGGAAGGACGAAAACGAACGACAGCGCCCAGATGGAAACGATGGTTACCTTCGCACGCTTTCGTCCAGCTTGGATTCGCATTGGCCGTGAGATGGCTTTGTATCGGTTATATGCGATCGCAGTGAGCGTCCCCACAGACGCAAAAGTACTCATCGTCATGATAGGATAAATCAAATGACAAAGAAACCTCCCGAAGGGCCAGACATAGTGGTTTTCTTGTACAGCGACATCAAACGGAATGCACACTATGGTTACAGCGAGGTCGGCTATGGCCAGGTTCATGATGTAAAAGTTTGTTGAGGTGCGCAGTTTTTGCTGTCGACATACGACCAGACAAACTAACATATTTCCAGCGATGCCGGTGATGAATATTATAGCATACAATGTTAACTTCACTGCTCTTATCGTCGCTTCAGTTTCGCCTGAGCTTCCTGAGGTTAAATTAAGTTCTGTGTTGTTTCCCATGACTTCAGAGTGAGAAGCAAAGGTGGTGAAAGAAATGAGGTCGAACGTACGAAGCACTTGAGTCTCTGAAGTGTTCTGTGATGTAAACAACCGAAGAAATGTCGGAAGAGAAAGCCGAAAAATGATAATATATTGTTCTTTGGTAGGAGATGTTGGTCTATTAATTGTTCCTCCGGCATAAATTGTTTTGATCGGTCTTCAGATTTCGACGCTCTGCAGTCGTTTGAAAACCAAAGAAAATCATTTTAAGCACTACAGACACGTCAATCAATCATGAAATGTCAAATACAGGGAAAACCTCGCTTAACAAAAAGCGTTTTGAAGCCTCTAAGGGCGCAACGGGTGGTTATAATATAAACATATTTTCTCCGGGCGTCAGCAGCTCTTTAATGAGTAAAACTGCCAATCTCGTATAAAAAAAGTTGTAATACTGAAATGTTGGTTTGATTGACGAGGTGAGTGTGATGTGGACCACTAATATTTGAGCAACAAAAATACAAATGTTGTAGAAAGTACCCCTCGTCAAATTAGTGAAAGCTGCGTGCATGCTAAAAGTCTTGTTGAGAAAGCAACTTGTGTAATGGAGCTGTGATTGTAGAGCGCGATAACCTAAACCCGCCTTGTCCCGTTGTCCATGCATATGTTGATCGCAACCGAGATAGCAAAAGAATAATTATACATTATTTAAAGGTGTTTTAGGTCAAAAGCTAGGCACGAAATTACAAATAAAGCGACGATTTCGTTGTGTGCACACGAAAAACAAGAGTGACCTTCTAGAGAAATCAGCAATCTGCAGGTTATTTTCGTGTATATTTTTACAGTGGGTGGGTAGCTTTTAAGCAACACCAATCCTTATTTCAAACAACACTGGTTTCCACTCACATTATTTCCTGTGAATAATGAATCTTAGCCTGCTCTTAATTGATCCCCTGTTGAATACAGACTAAACGGTTACCGCATATTGGCAAACTATTGATATCACGCCATTTTTAAAAAATGGTTTGAGTTTTGTGGTTTTGTATTTGTCCCTGTATGTCTGCCTGAGATACAGATAAATTATAATACGAGTTTTTCCACATATATTGTCTTGGAAAATAACCATTATCGATGCCAACATTCTTGGCGGAACAAAAAACATTCATTTAAAATATCGTGCTGTGGAAGAAATCTCGCGAAGTTGTTTTTCTTCACAAGAAATTCCCTTCAGAACCAAAAGTAGCGAATTCACAATTGTAATGATACTACTTGTATGATACGGTACAATACTGCGCTGGGTTTGGGCTATAAAAAAATGACTTCAAACGGTCCGAAGCAAATAAAATGAAGATAAAAAGAGTCCGTTAATCAATGTAGGATGAGAAATTCACCTGCCTGTTCGTAAAGCAATTACAGAACGTGTACGAAAAGCACGGAAATAGACATGTTCATGAAGAGTTTCTTGTGACGCACGCCAGCTAATGCCAACGTAACATTTCAAACACATTTCTCGAGAATTAATACAAAATTTCATCTTTAAATCAGAATAGACAAAAAAAGATGCGACTTTTAAGTTAATCAATTGAAACTATGTTGCAATTCTGCTTTACTGGAGATTCTTATTTTGGATATGAAAAAAATATAGCGGACTACTTTTAATTGTCTAAACTAATGTTTTCTCGACGTCGACTGAACCGGTTCACGCAACTGCATTAAGAGAAGGTTGCTAAAATGAACACCATTCATTTGAGGTCGAGTTTTCTGTTATTAACGCCACTAAGCTTCCTACCGTTTCATAGGAAAACGAAAGCCTGTAGAGGACAGTTGCCAGAAACATATAGTTTTACGCTTATAAAAACAGGGTATAGTTTTGATTTTCGTCGAGAACTTGCCGCTATAAAGTTTTAACATGGACGAATAGTAAACCGTCAAAGATCACACCAGATTCTCGGATTTGAACTGAAAGAACACGATGTGTTCTCTGGTAATAAAATATAAGCGTTGTTTTCTTTTTAAGCTACTTTGATTGCCGCTTTTGGAAATTGATCGCGGAAGGAAGTGTCTACAGAGCATCCGTAAAATTATGCATTAGTTCACAAAATGTACACAACTATTGCATCAGTACTAAAAAAAAAACGAAATTTAACTGTTATTGCGTGCTTTCGGTGCCGTAAGCAAGGTATTGCAGCTTGTTTTTAAAGCAAAACAAAAATCAATATCGGACACGCGAGCCAAGCAAAATGGATCGAGATCTGTAGTTGAGCTCCATGCAGTGTAGTTTAATGTTTCCATAGTAGTGACAGTTAAATTCATTCGATTCTAACCTGAAGAATCGCGCGTTCAAAAGACATTATTTACGAGGTTAAGAATGTCAAAAAAACTTAAAGAAAAACCGAACGTTTTCGACTAATTAAGTCTTCCCTGAAGATGACTTAATAACTCGTTCAGTTTTTCTTTTAATTTGTTTAAACCATTTTAGCCAAATGGAAACTTAGATTTTAAGCAAATATTATGGAGTATACCGTTCTTATTTTGAACTAAAAAATCATACACATTCTTAGATAGTATGCTTTTTTATTGATAAACTACAGAAGGCCTCGGCCATTAATTCGTTTCAAAACTAGTCATTTTCGCTTCAACCAAAACGAAGCAAAATATTCAAGTCACCCACACTAGCGTTTTCGTTCTGTTTTCATCTGTTTACACTATTGCTTTTTCATTCCAAAACGCTCCGACACCTTTTTGATGCGTTCTAGCCCATCGTCTAGACTAAACTAAACACCCGAAAACGCTGATGGAAACGACAGTATAAGACGCCTTTTTTCGTCACCGTTTTGAAAAGCCTCTGTTTTCACCCGTCCACACTAGAAACGGAGCGTTTTTTAAAACGATGCGTGTTAAAAGATTTCACTTTAGGAACCGTTTACGGGAGTCCCCTTTTTAATCAGTGTTTTTCGGGCGTTTTAGTGTGCACGATAGGCGAAAACCCATTAAAAAAATGCATTTTCAAACAAAAACGCATTTGTGTGGTCGGGACCAGTTTGAAGACCAGTTTGAATCAGCCCCCGGACATTTTTTAACTTATTTCAGGGAGCTGTTACCCCCTTTAATTTTTTTAAAAAAGATCATTTGAAATAATTGTATATAAAATACTGAATGAGGTAAAATAAAGTGTTGTTGTTGTCGTTGTATATATGAAACAAGACGGCTAGGAAACCTGGCGCACAGAAGCAGTTTCTTGTTTGGCGGGCAAATCCCTTCGGGAAGATTTAGCGAATACGCAAGACACTAATTAGTCTGCGGGACACAGCCTAAGGACTCATACGCTTATTGCCTTTGACATATTACATTTAGGTTTGAATTCAGCTCAATAAACAGCATACACAAAGGTTTTGGAGAGTCCATATCCCAACCCTGTCCCCCCTTAACGAGAACACCACCAAACAAAAAGGTTTAATGAGCAGGGCAAAAGCTGTACACGAGCGTTATAAATATTTGTATATTTCTGTTCTGCGCATTTTGGAGAACGCCAGCGACGGCAGCTAATTTTTCGTTTTTTCATTTGGAATTGAACGCTGGAGTTACTTATTTAGCTTGAGCAAGTTCAGAGACCAATAGACGTTCTGAACAGATATCGACAATTGCGAAATTCGAAGGTAAAATATAAATCCATTTTTTAATAGGCGTTATCCTCGAGGACGCGGTCGTCATTGCTTAGGTCTTGTAATGTCGGAGTCTCGTTTAACAATCGTGTGTGTGTAAAGTTGTTAAAAGTTCATCTGAATACAGGAGAATATGGCCTGGGAGTAGGATCTTAACTGTCAGTCGTAAGGAATTAAGACGAAACATTCTCATCAGGTTCAAATGCTTTCAAAAACAAGTCGCTCACTTTATAATAATAATGATTTCGTTCATTATCAGTGACCATGATTTCGTTCCACGGGCAAGATGCATTTTTTATAACCGGGACTTAGGGAGGAGGAGATCGTAACAATGAATAACGTTGAAAAGTTCGCTTCGAGGAGAAACTCAGCTCACTGCCGAGTCCAAATGACCAGAAAAGACAGGTAACTACTTCTTTGACCGTTGAAATTACGATAAGAAACAAGTGTACCTTGAATGTTTTCAACCTCTTGCAAATATCTCCCATCCAGATCATAGTTTTCAATATACAGTTTGAAATGTATTCTTTTATGTTGCTATGTTTTATACCACCGATTAACAACACAATGTTCAACAGCATTGTACATTTCTACGGCAGTTAATTAAAACTAACAGCAAAAGAATCTGAAACTTCTATTTCCACAAAGGAACAGCAGCCGCGAAAAATGGCAGAACACACTAGTAACAAACAGAACACACGAGTAACAATCGGGAACACAAGTACTGAGATTCTCTTGGTCTTAATTTTGGGTAAATATTCCCCCTTCTCCCAATAAAATATTGTTGGGAATGACTTCCTACAGGCCGGCTTTCACAGCTGAACAGCATTGAAATGACGGCTGAAAAACCAGAAAGGTAGTTGCGAAGACGATCGAATATTGATCGGAAAGCATCAACCGCTTTTCAAAAAATCGTTGAATGAAGCCGATGTCACAAGGATAAAGGACATTGCCTATAATGTCTTCAAGTACCACCGAATTCTCACTGCAAACACTGAACAAATTGTATGGTATCGGGAGACACGGCGAGAGAGAACACGAATGGAATAGACCTGCAACAGCGTAATGAAGTACAAACATGAACGAACTAAACCCCGGGGGGCTCCCATGTAAAAAGGACGGGGTGCCCGTTGGGAAGTTTGAAAAGAACCCCCTAAGAGGTAGCAAGGTCCTGTTTTGTGGCCGTGGCTTGAATTTTTTTTCGCCCCTAAGAGGTACCAATTCTAAAACATCACATTATCTGCTGTCCTACTTTTTCGGCTCAACACCCTAAGACGTATCGTTAAAGCTCCCGCTGTGGACCTTTTTAGGCTCAACACCCTAGGAGGTACCAAAACCGCTTTTCTGACCCCAAAAAGGTGCGACAAGTACCCCCTCTAATATGGAAGTCTCTCCGGACCTGATGGGCCACTTGGCTCGTATTTTTTATAGTAANCCCCCCCCCCCGCCCCCGCCACCCACCCCTCCGACATTTTTATATGGGAGGGAGAACTAATCCATAACTTTCATTTGTCGTAAACCAGTTCTTTAACCACAGGATTAAGTTGCAGTCACATCGATTAACATAGATACAAGGGACACCACCTGTGCAATCCTTTTTCTTGTTTGATCCTGTATATAAATATTGTTGTTCACGTACTTTAGCGTCGTAGTTACCGTATTTGTATTCTCAGTTACATGTCCCTTTCTTTAGCGGAGAGTTCTCCCTCTCTGCTAGACACGTTAAAAAAATTCGCTCATTCATTTACTCTAATTAATCGACTTCAGCCCTTAATTTATTTAAAATTACTACCTAACTAAAGACTTAGAATAGGACATTAATTAATTTGCTCGCCAAGTTTGATTGTCTGGGTTTACGAGGCTTCAGAGAAGGAAACTTCAATATTCTATCTCGACACCAATTAATAATTTTTCGCTGCACAATCAAACTAGACAAACAAAAGTAGTATAGCTTGCAGCGTAGAGCTGGGATGAAGAGACAACCCATTATCTTATTTACTACAAGATAATTTCATTTTTATAACTCTGGCCAAGATCTTTGTGCGGCAAGACAATTGAGTTAAGAACTATGACTTCTCCTGGTATTGTTACATTTCGACCTGAAATTGAAAAAAAATAACAGTTTTTGTTACCTCAACATTAACCATGAAGACATGATTGATTATCGCAGTTACATACACAGCTTAAGCAGCTGTGAAATTAAACTCTGAAAAAAATTCAGGCTTGAACGGGATTTGAACCCATGGCCTCTGTGATACCGGTGCAGTGCTCTACCAACTGGGAGCTGGTCACGTTATGAGTTCATAATATACCCGTAGTTGGTGACGATAGTGAATATACGAAATACCATATATTTGAACTGCTCAGAAAGATATGAAGACATGATTGATCATTGCAGTGATATACACAGCTTAAGCCACCGTGAAATAAACGCCTGAAAAAAAAATCCCTCAATCATGAGGAAACTGCACCTCTCCTGTATAAGCAGACACTTTTTCTGGTCTCAAGGGTGTCTGACTACCACTGGTTTGATGTTATTTCTAAAACAACTTTAATACCTTACCTAGTATGGTGATTGATGGTGTCAACTTGCCGTCATTACCAAACAGTGATTCACCATCTGGCCTAGAAAACTCTTCATTGGGGTTTGGGTCACAGCGGCTTCCCTCAACTCGTGACCACATTCCTATGGAACAGTTCCAGCCAATAATACTGTACAGAATACAACAGTGATCCTGGAAAAACACAGGCATGAAAATCACTCCACGGTACTTATTCTTAAACAATGTGTATCATGTAATGACATTTTCAAAACCTTACAAAATTCCAGGGAAAGTGTTAGACTCCTTGTACGTGTAGTTCTTCTTTTCCCTTAATTGCGGTGTTGAGCCATACAAACATTAGGACCAAGATGCAGAGCTAAGTGAGCAAACTCTAGTTTTTATGCTGATTGCATTCCCAAACTGCTTTTTGCTTTTAGCTTCTCGCTCGATGGATGAAGGGAAAATAGGGGCTGTTTATCTTCTACCGGTTACAGGTCAGTAAATCCTTAATTTACAGCACGGCTGCTCATTCTGTACAAGTATTGGAAGACTATATGTTAAGCGTTTTGTTTCTCAACCAGTAAAATTATGGCAAGACTAATGTAAAGCAAGCTTTTGAACTCAAGAATTCTATGCATTACCTTCAGCTCTGCTCCATCAAGTAAGATTGTCTCTCTTACCCGTGCTCCAGCACCAATGACTACATTACTACCAACGGATACATTGGGACCAAGCTAACGAGGACAAGAACGATTGAAATCAATCAGTATATCAATTACTCACTCACTCAATCAGTTACTAAGCCAGTCCTCAGTCTGTCAGTCCATTAGTCTAGCAGTTTGCCAGTTCAGCCGTTCACCCCTCTGCACAAGCTGTCTGTCCATGCATCCATCAAGTCTGTCAGTCCATCAATCTGGCATTGTGTCAGTTCATCAGTCCCACAGTCCTTCTCTCCACCAATCTGTCTGTTCTACAGTCTGTCAGTAAGCCATTCCGCCTGTCAGCCCATCAGTCTGTCACTCAGTCTGTTAGTCTGTCAGTCCATAAATCTGTCAGTCAGTCAGTCCGTCAGCTTGTCATTCTGCCAGTCCATGCGTCAGTCCATCAGTCCATCAGTCTGTCAGTCAGTCAGTCAATCAGTCAGTCGGTCAGTCAGTCCGTCCGTCAGCCAGTCAGTCAGTCAATCAGTCAGTCAGTCAGTCAGTCAGTCCATCAGCCCTTAGTTATATTATACTAGGATTACAGTCTGAGCACCACACTGCATGCAAAAGAGTACATCTACATGAAAATATTTTGCCTTCTGAATGCATTGTATGCCTGGAAAGTTAATCAGCTCATTGCAGCAATCTTACCACTGCTGAAGGGTGGACCACAGCACTTGGGTGAATGTATACATCACCTGAAACATCCAGTATCAGACATTATTTATAACCATCATTTGTTTATTATACCATCAAAATATCATTTAACCAATAAAGCCTAGAAACTCAAAGAAGTAGCATGGAGGTTTGAAAGATGTACTTTTGGGTATGAAACTGGCAATTTAGATATATTTAGGGTAGGGGGAAAAATTGTAAAAGAATAATGAGATATCAAAAATATACTGTCCAGTGGTTACCTCTAATGTGTGGCTGGCCTTTTCCATTCTGAGCCAGAAGATCTGGATGAGTCTTGTGATACATAGAAAGTACATTTCTATTTGCATAAATTGCAGACCTGACAAGGAAATCAACAATACCTGTAACTACTAAGAACTAAAGTACACCAGGTGTTACCCTAGCAGAGCTGTCACTAAGTTTTGATTCACCTGTATCCTTGATCTTCACACCTGTAACAAACTTGTTACTTGATGGGTGAATTGTATCAACTAAAGGCAAGTTCACCTGTATCAACAAGGGCCCATAAAGCATGCTCAGCCATAACAGGTGCTACCGGTTATGGCAGTTATTGACAACCTTGTCAAGTACATGATTTACAAGACAAAACAACAATATTACAACAAGACCCAATACAGTGTATGAAACTGATAACAAATTTTCTGAAATTGTAGTGGAATCCAGATTTCCCAATTAATGTGGAGGAAGTGAAATTGGTTTGAAAATCATGAGGTTTGAAAAACTGAGGGTAGATTTCTTCTTACTTTAAATATTGTCAATGGAGCAAATTTTTACTTTGAATGATTGGAAGGTTTGAAAAATCAAGGATCCAAAACTCAGAAATTTCACTATAGGGAATAAATTAATTGCTTATAAATGATGAGCAATTACTTGCTAATGAATGGTTAAGGAACATAAAAGGAGATTTTAGAATCTCTTCTATGGATTCTTACCCAGCATTCTTGATTGAGGACCAGAACGAGGTTGACTTGTATGCATAAAGTGATCCTGAACTGGCTATAGCAGCAAGAACATCTTCACCCATTCTTACAGCTTCAACATTGCCAGCAAATGGTTCCTCACTGCAAGAAATGCCTTTAGATTAGTTTAATAAATGTTTTACAGGGCCTGACCTGTACAGCGTACCTCTTTGTGCATGCTCCCATGAGATGTCTTGCAGGTGTCTAATACAATTTCAGGGGTTTCACAAAAAGCTGGGCACTGGGCAAATTGACCAGCTGTGATGACAATTTTGCCCACCCAATTTGACCATCTAAAGCAAAGTTTTTCTCATAAAGAAGTTTAGTTCAAAAAGTTTTCCTGCCCGTGAAAACCAATGGCTGTCCTGCTTCAAAAAATTTCATGAAACCCCTTTCGAAGAAACCAGCTAGTTACAAGTTTACAGTTTGGGCAAATGGTGGACAAAAAGCCCTACACAGAAATTCCATATAAGAGATCTGGAGTGTCCCATTTCCCAGATTTACCCAAAGTTTGTCAAAACTGCCAGAGGGCCTGGAAATTGTACAAATGCTAAGCACACTCCATTTGAATACTCGTCGGGAATTTCACGCCACAAGATGTTCTCTTTAATTTGGAAATTTTCCAGTGAGACAGACCAAAATAGCCACACCATTTTAGATCACAAAAAATAATTTCCAGAATTTTTTGGTAAATGGTAAACAATCACAATTTATTATCCAACTGCAGTGAATACTGTCCAAATAACAGTAAAAATATACAGCGCTACTGTACAGTTACTTGTATAGTAGAAAACCTGTTTGCCGTACAGGTCGGCGCGTGCGCGCAAAACTGTCACTCTCTCCCGCTTTCATTGATAAATTTATTGGCTATAGCAGTTGGATAATAAATCTCTTATTAGATGTTTTGGTGTGTAGTATCACTTTATATTTTTACTCATTGTTTGTATTTTGATTCGCCCTATGGGCTCCTCAAAATACGGCACATCTCGTAAAAATATACAGTGATGCTACACACCAAAACATCTAATAAGATATATTTATTGGTACTTACCTCATTTTGCGATAATTCTTTTGAATGACTTCTCCCATGAGTTTGAACAAGGCAGCCGGCGAGAAGATGTAAATGCCGCAGTTGATGATTTCACTAACAAATGTTTCTGGCTTTTCTACATAGTGCAAAACCTGTAGTGGAAAGGAACAGACTATATGAAATAGCAAATTGATGACTGGGAAATATTATCACTGTTAAGTGAAACAGAACCTTCTGTGGTGAGTCAATAATCAGTTAGTTTGCCAGATGTCAAGAAAAGTTGAGATTTCTTGTAGGTGTAGCTGAATTCCATGATGATGTGGTTTTTCAACTAAGCCCCTTTCGAGTCAATATTAATAAAATAAAGATCAATTTTAGACAATAATATACCATAAACAAGCTGGTACACGACAAAAATAACAAAATTCACTAACCTTGTGGGTCTCAGGGTCTTCTACCAAACAGCCAAAGTTGTGCGCTTGTTTTTTGTTGGCCTGATAGAAAAAGGTAACTTAAAGGTTAATATGGCTGGTTATTGTCACTCTTGAGAAAACAAGATAAGAACACTAGCTATTGCAAATTGATGTGGAATAAGCAGCTCTTAACAAAGTGTAATGGAAACTGTACATCAATGGCCTTAAACCTATAGCGGTGCCTTAGTGGCAATGGATCAAAAACTAGCTACCCATCACAGAAAACCATAAATTAACATTTTTGTTATGAAAGATAACATTATTATTAATAAACTTGCCATTTACAATAAAATCAAGACTCACAAAAGTCCTCACCTCTGTAGCCAAAATGGAATGTTCTCCTGGATGTTTGCGGTGAAATTCAACAAATTCAAGGAGAGGGTAGTCTCCCATGATATCAGCATTCAGTACAAGAAATGCCTCTGGTTCCCCCATAGCAATCTGGTCTCTGAAGTGATATATTCCTCCTGCGGTGCCAAGAGGCTGGAATTCCTGGAGATATCTATGTAGAATAATTTTGCAAGCTTAAGTACATGTATCTTAAATTTATATTTACTACTTTTAAAGCCAAAAAATTTCATTAAAGTCACATTTGATAAAGAAAAAAAAAGGGAGGTCTAGTGGCCTTGAGCATGGTTAGTGCGTTTGTTGATCGAGCGGTCCAGGTTCGAGCCCTAACAGGGGACATTGCATTGTATTCTTGGGCAAGACACTTTACTCTCACAGTGCCTCTCTAATTTAATGCTGGGGGGTAACCCTGTGATGAACTAGCATCCCATCCAGGAGGGAGTAGAAATACTTCTAGTTGCTTCATGCTACAGAAATCAGGTTAAGCTCCGGCCTGATGGGCCACTTGGCTCGTATGCCAGACTTTTATTACATTTGATAAGCTAAAAAGGTTTCCTCAAACAAAATAGGAATCTTGATATATCACTCATTCATTCTGATACTCTTGCATATGTCCAGTTACAAGTTTCATGCAGCCCAATCTTCCTTCATCTATATTTTATGTAAGGTAAGGTAAGGGAAAGTCTCCATATGAGACAAGTAGCCCATCTGTAGCATGATGTTCTACTCCCCCCTGGATGGCATGCTAGTCCATTGCAGGAGTACCTCCAGCATTAAATTTGCCGGTACCCATTCCAGGGTGTAGCAAAAATTTTTCAAAGTGGGGTTCGCACTGTGTCAAAGTGAGGGTACTCGCCAGACTGTCATGTCGATTTTGCCACCTGTTATAGTCTGTTTGCTTACAAAAGGCTTACAAAAGGGGGGATCACGGGCACTCCAGGACTCCCCCCCTCCCTACGACGCCCTGCCATTCATACGCCTGGGTGGAGAGAGGTACTGTGAGAGAAAAACATCTTGCCCAAGAACACAATAAAACCTCCCCAACTAAGGCTCAAACCTGGACCACTTGATCCAGAGGTGAGCGCAACAACTGTGAGCCTGCACACCTCCACAATATGATTAACAATATGATTACAGTGAATTCAAAATGACAGGAAGTGTAATGTACCTGATAGGAATATTAAATTCATGTTGAGCATTCTGAATAAACTTTGATAAACTCTCACTGGACTGGTAAAATCCAATTAAGATAATCTCTTTCAGTTCAGGAATCTGAAAAAAATTATAAACCAAACATTAGTGAAGGATCATTTTCCTCCCATGTACATGTACTCTGCATCTATTTTAACTTTGCACAACCAATAACACTATTATTCTTCTCACACTGAAAAAGACAATAGAAAAGATAAAACTGCCAACATTTTCCAAGTCACCAGCATGAGATTCTCATCCTGTGAGTAACAGCATTTTTAAAGAAGATCACATCATAACAGAGGACGTTTGAAGATTTCAGAGGATGTTACGACAATCTCCAAAAGCGTTTTAGTCTGAAATGTCAGATGCCGTCTCGCCTTAACCCCCAAGGTGACTAACTTCTCTGTGATTTGGGAGAAGATGTCTGACATTTTAACTTTAACTAGGCTTAAAGTATTTTGAACATTTCTAGATAGATGTGTTGATATGTGTGTTTTTATTTATCACCAAAATTTTTCTCTTGTTTTCTTTATGTGTCTGCCATTTATGACATGAAATGGATATTACCATCACCAGAGAAATAAAACTATTATTTTTCTTTTACTACTGTCATAATTTCGTTAAACAAGGACACACCAAAAAAACAAAAAGTTTGCCGACGCTACACTGCACAGCAGCATTAAATCTAAATCTAAATCTAAATCTAAAATCATTGATCAAATTGCATTTCAGCATTTGCCTTTGATAATTCCCAAAACATAATAATTCACGCCAGTTCACTTCTTGGATTTTCCATCACTTGCAGCTTAGCTTGACATGTATAGCTTGTTATACCTTCTTGCAAGCTTCGATATGGTGATAAACGACTGGAAATCCTCCAATAGGAAACAACGGTTTAGGCAACTCCAAAGAGAGAGGACGGAACCTTGTTCCTATAAAGCGGAAAACATAACGTTAGCTGTAAGCTAACTAAAATAGTTGGAAGAATCGTGTAAAAACACATACAAGAGTTTTACCTTTCATTGGCCCTCCAATAAGAATTACAACTTTTATCATGGTTTCTCTAAAGTCTGCTGAATTCTGCTTACAACCAGGTTAACAAAAAATAGAGATATTACGATCGAACAATCAATATTTAACCGTTTGTAAAGAGTTTCTATGGATATCTTGTGCCATTTCACAAACCTTCGTCCACGTAACCTCGCATCGCATGACCGCAAGGTGACAAAGTCCATCTCTCCCGTCTACTGGTGAGTGTTGTTATGTCTTCCCCTGCAGAGTATCCTAAGTGGAAAATTACCCGCCATTGAGCAGTGAATCCTGGGTACCATCTTCCACAGCACGTGCCGCCATCTTTGAATGGTTTTTCGTTCATTTGTACAAACATTTTTTTGTTAAAATGGCAGATAAAGGAAACGATTCTGCAGAAGAGGAAGATCCTACCATTGCTGAAGATGTGGTCGTCACGAAGTACAAAATGGCAGGCGACATGGCTAACCGTAAGTAAAAGTATAAGCTATATGTTGGCCGGCTCTTTCGTTTTCCTGAAGGAATATTTAGTGAAAAATTCCAAAATTATTAGATGAGGTAACCGTTATGACAGCTACAGCCTTGTTACTTGTTTATAAAATTTCAACCTTGTTCATTCTTTTCGAGATAAAGGGCTCTTGTTGAACAGATTCCTGTCGCTTCAGCAATAAAGTCCTTGCTCCATGCATTCATGCTTTTTCGGTAAAGAGTTCTTAAAAATTAGCATAGTGGTACATTTTAGTTAGGAACTGTCCGCGCGAAAAATTTGACTTTTAGTATTACCGAACACCGTAATGAGACACCCTTTAAGATAACAACAGGAGTGTAATTATGTATATGTACATTTGTCAGTATAAAAGCTGGAATAATAAGGTTTTATCTCAAACCTTCTTTTTTTCTTGAATATAAGAGTAACATGTATGGATTTTAGATTACTTTGTATATCATTATTAAATAATGCCATCTTACTGGTGCTTACCACCTTATGAAAATAAAATTATGTGGATTGAGGTTGCAAAGGGATATACCATGATACCACCATATCCAGGCATGTTAGGTCTTTGAGAGAACAGTCTGAGTTATCAAGGCACTAAATCAACAAAAACTTGAATACAAGGACGCCACAATAAATTCACGGCCACAAAGAAAAATTATTGACAAATCTGGGAAAATCCATTTTGGATAATGCGGTTTCTATTACATCAGTACATGTGTTTATTTAAAAATCACAANAATACAAGCCAGTACATATCTCATGCTAGAATGTCCATACCTCCCCCATGGAAGAGGTTTTGTCTACAACGGTCCCTGGTCCCTCCGGAAATTCCAATTAAGCTTCATACATTTCTTTAAATGTTTTGGTCTTAGAGAAACCTCTTATCCCTGGGAGATTTTAATCCCTTCTCTTGGGGGAGTATGGATATTTTCTGGAACTGCACAATAAAGTGTGTAAGCCTTTTGAAATCTTAGGGAGGAGAGTGGGTTAGGGAAGAGGGAGTTATGATGTACCTCCAAGAGGGACAGTTTATGTGCTCAGAGCTGAACTGGAAAGGATTTTCTTTTAGTAGATCAAATTTTAGCAATGTTTTGTTCCTGAAAATATTTCATACCAGCCCCAAGAAGAGGTATTAGAAAGTCCAATAGGGGATGGGGTCTAAAAAAAAGCTCAAATATGTTGAGGAAACTGTGAAACAAAACTGGAATTTCCAGAGGGGTGGGTGGTTAAATCCAGAAAAAAAAAACCTGCCATGGAAGGGGTATAGTGTGTGGATGTTTTCTGGAACACCATAATTTAAATCTGGGAGGCCTATAAACGGGATGTGAGGGAGAGAAATCAGCGGGATTTGCACTGAATAGTTTCTTACTGACCGATATATCTTTTACTCCAAAGGTGTTTTGAAGAAACTAATAGATGCTGCAACTGAAGAAACTACAGCACGGACATTATGCCAAATGGGAGATAATCTTATTGAAGAGGAAACGAGCAAAGTTTACAAGAAAGAAAAAGAACTGAAGAAAGGTATAGTTTAATTTTAAAGCAAATTATCAGCTATTTTTCTTGAAACTTTTAAAAAGCTGACTGTTTATGTACTTTTAACTAGTAAATGGTTTTGTTCTTAATGGGACTTTCTCTTTTGTACCACCAGGTATTGCTTTCCCAACGTGTATCTCAGTGAACAATTGCGTTTGCCATTTTTCACCGCTTTTGAGTGAACCTGATATCACACTTAATGATGGAGACCTTGTAAAAATGTAAGTTGGTTTGTGTGTTATACTTTCAGCGTGGTACTGTGGAATGACCATCAGGGCTGTCATTAAGTTTTGATTTGTCTGTATCCTTGATCTTCACACCTGTAACAAACTTGGTACTTTATGGGTGAATTATATCAACTACAGGTAAGTTCACCTATAGCATCAAGAGCCCATCAAGCATGCTCACTTGTAACAGGTGCTTCAGGTGACGGCCCTTATTGACAGACCTGGTCATAATAATGTGGTGTTTATAAGCCAGATCCTGATGTATAAGATTTTTAGAATGTTGAGAAATGATTCTGTAGTTGTAGGGCCATACCTGTGGGGCCTTACCATTTGTTGAATGCAGCCTGTCTAATTATTAGCTATGGCCGTTGGTGTTCATGGTGAGTATTGTTTTAACTTGTAAGTTTGTTTGTTTCTACAGAGACCTCGGCGTTCATATTGACGGCTATATTGCAGTAGTAGGACACACAATTGTTGTTGGTGCTTCAAAAGTAAAGTTTGAATTCTTGATTTTGAATTTGTACATCAACCTTTTGGTATCTTATGTTCAAGCAGAAGTATTGCCATTTCTTTAGTAACAAATGGTGCATCAAATAATCAGAAATGGTGTGTATCTGTTGACTTATCATTGTAGGACAATAAAGTAACAGGCCGAAAAGCTGATGTTCTTCAAGCTGCATACTTAGCATCTGAAGTAGCACAAAGACTGGTGAAAGCCGGTAATGAGGTAAGCTTAGAGAAAATATCTTTTGCTTTGGTAACTAATTACGATACATAAAATTTATTTATGTAAGTTTAAGCCCTCTATTTCAGAGTAATATTGTGCACTGAGTGTAGTCTGAGGTGTTAATTTCATAGTTAGAGAGGTACGCACTTTAGAGATGGTTGGAGAGAGGTGAACAATCTTGCAATGGACTAGCACTCCATACAGGAAAAAGTACTCCTAGATGCTTATGCTTTTCAAAGAGGGCCACTTGACCTCTTAATTTGCATGTACCATTAAAGGTACACTCACTTTAGAGGGGCACCTATTTTTAGAGAGTCAAACATTTTTCCCCGTTATTCTACCCTAGATTGAGCAATCAATATTATTACTAGAAATTGACGTACAGTTTTGTATCATCCTTCCTATTCAAGTTCTGTACTGAACACGTGCAGTTACACAATTGACCAGTTATATTGAATGATTATTGAACCTATTGCAGAACTACACGGTTACAGATCATATACAGAAAGTAGCAGAGGCATTTCAATGCAAGCCGGTTGAAGGTATGTTATTTGCAGTCCTGATAGAAATAAACTCCTGCATTCCTCTTTAGTCAGCCCTTTGAAGGTACAGCTCTGAATTCAAAAAGTGGCAATCTTGAACCTTTCAATTCAAATGGATTAATGTCACCTCATGTGTTAAAAATTGTCAACAGTCTGTGATATCAATGTTTCTTACTCTTAAGCTTAATATTTCATGGCCTAATATGTTTTACTAAAGCCAGTTTTCTTAATTTGAGAAATGCTTATCATTGAAACATAGACTTTTTATGGTCAAGTCTACCACCTCAACTACAGTTTACCTTTTTCAGTGTTTAAATAATATTCTTCTGCTTTACAACTTTTAAACAAGTTCAAGGTAATTTAATTTTAATTTTTAAGGTATGTTATCCCATGAACTGAAAAGAAATATCATAGATGGCGAGAAGGCAATCATACAGAATCCCACAGAGCAACAAAGGTAACCTTATTACTATTGGTTTAGCCAGTGAAGGTAATTAATGTTTGTTGACTTAGCACTTTGTCCTGATGGAGTAGCAACTCTAATGGCAGATAGAAACCACATTGAGTCTTCATGTACACTATAAATGAATTAGTGTGTTGAATAAGGTCCAAGTGACTGTTGATGGAACATCAAATTCTCCTTGTGTTTCACAAGGGAAAATAAGGCAATCTGGAAGGAGAATCTAGCAATTTATCAGGAGTCACTCACAGATTTTTTCAAGGCGTCCCTTCAAATATTATTGCTGTTGATCTTATAACAATTCATTTATAATAATTATTTTTGTTATAAATTTTTCTTTTGTGACAGGAAAGACCATACCAAGTGTGAATTTTCTGTACATGACGTTTTTGCTGTCGATCTCCTCATAAGTACTGGAGAAGGCAAAACTAAAGAAAAGGATACACGCACAACGGTGTACAAGAAAACTGAGAACAATTACAGCTTGAAAATGAAGGCTTCTAGAGGTACAACTGTGAACAATTATTGTCACTTCTATATGTATGGCCACTTTCATGAAAAAAAATACAACATGGAAATTTTAAATTGAAGCATTCTGTGTATGAGAAATTTTGGCATTAAGATTAAAATGTACAGTAAAAGTGTGGTAGCCATCTGGCTCAGATGTTCACCGAATGATTTACAATGGAAAAGTGTGTTTCCTGATATCTAACTTACTTATAGAAAAATGTATACATGTAGGATTATCACTGGATGATGCAGGTCTGATTGGGTTTCTAGAGTGAAAAAATTGTAGAAGACTAAGATATTAAATTATTCAGTGTAACTATGTAGCATGGTTAGGTGCTAGTCTACAAGGAATGTTCTAATACAGATTAAACGAGGTTAAGGTTGCAGTTGAGTAAAAGAGTGTAAATAGTTATTGTTGTTTGTTGTTAACTCTTGGCTCTATTGTAGTTTTTTTCAGTGAGGTTACTAATAAATTCACTGCCATGCCATTTACACTAAGGTAGGTGAATCTTATTGTGTTTCTAAAACTATAATAATATTGTATGTCACTTTCCTGTCTTCTTTTTCCATTATGTTTCTTTTGATGTATTCAAAGGAAGCTCTGTCAGCCGACACCTCTTCAGGTGATGAATGTTGATCTCTGATTGCACTCTTTTTACAGAGCGTTTGAGGATGAGAAAAAGGCAAGAATGGGTGTTGTGGAATGCGTTAAACACAGTCTTCTAGAACCTTTCAATGTTCTTTGGGAAAAAGAAGGTCGGTAGAAAAAATATTAATTCTGAATATACTTAGACAAGTTAATACAAATTGATGGTTAGATAGGTATTGTTGTTATTAGCAAATTTGGGAGTCATCATTAGACAAATAAATATGCAATCAGCATCATCAACATTGATCCTTTTCGTGTCACATAGTGCGCAAACATTGTTGTCCCAGTGTTGTAGTGTACTTGACCTCTCCCAACTGAAATAATTTCTCTCCTTCTCTGCTATTCTCTGCCATTTTTCTTTGGGTCTTAATCCTCTTATTTTTTGTCTTTTTTTTTCTTGCCAGTGGCACTCAAAATTTGTACTGCACTTTTGTTTTGCCACAGGTGAATATGTAGCGCAGTTCAAATTCACATTGTTACTTATGCCAAATGGACCAATCAGGTAGGGTATCCTTAGGAATGGTTTGTAGTAATGTTTTCACATCACAGTCATGTCATGTTGGAAATAACACTAAGTTGCAGGGGTTTCATTAGGGGCCAGGCATTTGGCAAATTGACAGGCTGTGGGGACGGTTATGCCTGCCTGGTTTGAGCATCTAGATGAAAGTTTTCCTCATGAAGAATTTCAGTTCAAAAAGTTTTGGCTGTCCATGAAAACCAGTTGCCCTTCTGCTGTAAACATTGATGGAATGATTCCCTGAGTTGTATACATGTATCTCTTAGATTTTAAAGCTGAGACATTACTTCAAAGTTTATCTTGACCCTGAAATCTCTAATACATGAAGCCAAAAAGGTCACATAAATTATGAGGGCATAAAATAATGAGTTATTCCTATACCGTATTCATTCTACTTAAATCTTGACTTTGTTTTTTCTTAGGATAACGCAAGGACCTTTTGATCCAGAAGTAATACATTCAGAACATTCAATAAAGGATCCAGATATAAAGGTAACATATTGAACATTATATAATTTACAGTTTCTATAGTTTTCAGTTTAGGAATTTACAAGAAATCTCTACTTTAAAATGTGTCTAATGTTTGACATCAAGAGACATTTTACAAATGGTGAAGTTACTTTTTTGCTACTGTATGAAATTTTTGAGTTTCAACTACAGAATGTCCCTGGTCAATCTGTCTTAAAAATATTTGCTATTTCTGTTTGCATGCTTGGATGTTAATTATTTTCGATTAAACCTTTTTCTCAAGTTTCTTGTTATATACTTTGCAGGCCATCCTAGCAACATCAGCTAGTAGGAAAACTCAAAAACGAAAGAAAAAGAAGGTGAATGAACTATTGTCTTTACTTCCTTGATTATACTATAGTCCTGGGATTCAATTAACTGTTTCATTTAATTGTATGGTACACGGTTATTCACAAATACTGGGCAGAGTAGAAATACTCCTAGTTGCTTCATGCTACAGAAACCGGGATAAGCTCCAGCCTGATGGGCTACTTGGCTTGTATGCAGACTTTACCTTAATAAATTTACAGTTACCTACTTTATGTGAAAACAATTTTATTTATTTATTTATTCATTTTTTTTGTTTTTTTTGCACAGGCATCTAATAAAGCAAGTGATGCTGTGGCAGCAGAGAGTAAGAATGGCGAAGATGTGGACGAATGAACTTTGGCTAACCCTGCTTGTTGTTCTTGTACTGCTATGTTATATTGTCCTTTCACAATCTCTAGTCTCTCACCTTGTGGAACAAGATTTGATCACCAGTAACATTGCCAGCGTCAGATCTATGTCAAGCACAGTCTGTTCACAATGCCAAGATGATACTGTTGTTTTACTATAGCCATGCTAGTGGCTGGTTGAATATGTACCAGAAAAAAGTCAGATCAAATAAAAATGTTTCCCTTGGTGATGGAAAATAGCAAAATTGTGTTTCTTCTGTTGTGATTCGTGACACTTCTTTCTAAAAGCTTGCACATAACCTGCAAGCTTCTAGCTCAAGAAAAGATGAAATTAAACGTTTTTGCTCTTGTATTGACTTTCATCTTGTCCATACTTACCTGCAGTCCTGGGGCCTGTTTCTCAAAGGTCCCGAAAAGTTTTCGCACCCGAAAAGCCGTAGCAAAATCTCAAACCTTCTGTCTACCAAGCTGTTTTATTCATATACTCTTGATACGAACAGAGGTTCTGTTCATGCAAGAAGTTTCAAGCGTATACACCTCTCTGTTTTTAAATACTGATTAACTAAAAATGGCTTTTCAGGCCCGAAAAGATTCTGGGGCTTTCGAGAAACAGGCCCCTGGACTTACAGTACCTTGGTTCCCTGGGGCAGTGTACAATCCCTGGGCTCCCTGGGATGGTGGACTTACAGTACCTGGGTCCCCTGGGATTGTGGCTTACCAACTAGGGTTGTTTTACATTTGCCATGAAAGCAAAAATGGTCTGTTTACAACTTCAAATAGTACAGCTTATTTCCGCGAATAGTTTCCAAAGAAAGCTGAATATCCTTGTACATCAAAACCCAACCAAAATACCATTAATTTTGTCAAACCATACTCACTACAAGGCTTTTTTCATTCTCACCAGATGTTTGTGTAGATGGTAACTGCCCTGCCCCAGATGAGGTGATAGCCGTGGGGGGATTCCGATGTGAAATGGTTGGGATGCTAATTGCAAAGTTTGGATTAAAACCCTAGAGGAGGCCAATCTGAGCATGACTCAAGCTTTACATGACCCCTAAATAACACAACTTGAAATGGAATAGGCTTTATTACCAGCTGCTGTTCAGTAACGAAGCCTGCACTAGTCTAAAAATGCAAATAAGAGACTTTTTACCACTGTTTCTCTAAGTGCAGGGTTTTCAAAATAAGCCAGTGCCCAACACAAGTCATCCATTACTTCAAGGATTAATTTGTGCTGCGTACTTTTTGTACACAGGTTTTTAATATGCATTTGTGATTCACTGTTATCTTTCCAAGTAAATAACTGGACAGAATGCACCTCAAGGCACACAGATTTTAGGAATTTTCCAGAGCCAGCACCCATCCCCCCTTCCCTTGCCAGACAGGGTAACCCACTTCGGAACTCTTTGATTCCCCACACGCACATAGCTGCTTTTATCGCAACCCAGTAGTGCTCCACCTACTTAAACATTTCTTCCTGCTACTTTATTTCAAATTGAAAACCCTGNTTTTCATAAGGCTATTAATCTTCAATCGAAGAATGAGAAGCACTTAAAAAAATATTCTTATAACGCGCCAAGAAGCGGAAAAAGGGGAAACATTGAATACTTAATGTGAGGTGGAGGGGGAACCCTACGATAGACTAGCATCAACATCCCATCCAGGGGCGCTAGAAATACGGAAATCAGGATATACTCCGGCGGTAGAGGTAAAGGTAAAGGTAAACTTTATTTAGCCAGGGTGGCCCATTCAGCGACGAGGCTGATATCCAGAGGGGCGGTATGGACCTAGTGTGTTGCAAGCTAGTATGGGCCACTAGGCCTGACGCAGACTTTGCCTTATCTTTATCTAATTTCTTTTCATAGCAGCACTCAGAGAAACGGCAAGTTACCGGGCTTGCCGTCGTAGCTTTCGAAGTTTAAACAGCAAAGCCAGTTAGTTGGCACGCCTACTTTATGAGGCGGACCGTTACCCGTGGCTACAGCCAACCCAATTGAAAAGCCCTGGAATAGAAGGTCGAGCTACAATTGCATTCATGCACCGCACCTTTCGTCTCTTAAGGGTTCTTGTTCTTATTCGGAGCAGACGTTTTCTGGTCATCAAAAGTTGTCCGGTCGAATGAAGAATACTTTCCTCACAGACTGGCCATGTTGAACCATTGCATAAACAACTGTGTTAGATGAACGCCAGACGTTCTTTAAGGGGGAACTGAAACAAAAGCTTGAACATTTTAGAGTTTCTAGAGACGTGGAGCAAATGAAAGCCAAGGGTTCAGTTATCACAACTGAGAAAACGAAACTTTTGAGTTCGATTTCCGACTCGATCCATTAAAATCAGATCAAGAAATGTTTTTTAAGGAATTTAAACCAGCAATAAGTTGGCTATTGTCCTGTCACTCGCCAGCTCATTTCTGAAAACTTGTGTCCGTTGTACATCTTAAAATAAACTTACAAACGTCTGAAGTATTTGATAAATTATAAAGAAGTATTGTATATTGAAATGCATTCGAATTACATTGCGCTAGTCAGTCGTATTAATAACATCAACATGCAGAAACTTGGGTTACGGAGTAGCAGAAGCCCTCTGATAATATAAAACAATGTTAAAAATGGGGAAATGTCAATATAAATGACCATAAATGTGTCATAATGAATATCATAATAACAATTTTTTTGGTTCAAAATTCTTCCAGGGCAAACCTGTTGTCCCAGTTGTTCCACCTTGGTGTGCCATCCATTCGTGAAAAATTGCCAGAATTTACGTTTATACATGCAGAATAATAAAATATATCAATGTGCATTATTTTAGAGATGACAGCATTTTCAAAGACACCCCAGTTGTTAAATATAGACTCGTGACGTCACTTTATAGGAAATGACTAAAAAGAGTGGTCAGTGCGCATGCTCAGTTTTCTTTGAGATTGGAAGGGAGCGACTGGGCGGCGTTTCTTTTCACACGTTTCACCTGAAAGCAAATCGAAAGCATAAACTTTCTCGTGGCCATTCATTCAACAGACTTCTACCATCTTCTGCCTTGAGATATTTCCACCATGTTTACGTGGATGAAAAAGAACGATGCTCACAAGAACCCGCAAGTTTTTAACTCCGTTGTAGATGGCTTGAAGAAACTCTACTTCAAGAACTTGAAACCGCTCGAGGAGGCTTACCTCTTTAATGATTTTCACTCGCCGGTTATGTCCGAGCCTGACTTTGTGGCCAAGCCCATGGTGTTATTAGTTGGTCAGTACTCTACTGGCAAGACAACGTTCATTCGGTATCTGCTTGAAAGAGACTTTCCAGGCATCCGAATTGGCCCTGAACCCACCACCGATAGTTTCATTGCTGTGATGCACGGTGAGAACGAACAAGTCATTCCTGGAAACGCGTTGATTGTTGACCCCAAGAAACCGTTCCGTACTCTCAGTTCCTTTGGGAATGCGTTTCTGAACAGATTCTGCTGTTCGGAACTTCCAAGCGGTGTCCTTGAGAGCATAACAATAGTGGATACTCCAGGTATTCTTTCGGGTGAGAAGCAAAGTGTCTCTCGCGGATACGATTTCACTGGAATTCTGAAATGGTTCGCCGAACGCTGCGATCGGATAATACTCCTATTCGATGCGCATAAGCTCGATATTTCAGACGAATTTCAGCGTGGCATCGAAGTGCTTCGCGACTACGATGACAAGATTCGAATTGTGCTGAACAAGGCTGATATGGTCACAACTCAACAGCTGATGAGAGTGTATGGAGCGCTGATGTGGTCCCTTGGCAAGGTAATCAATACTCCTGAAGTTGCTCGTGTTTTTATCGGGTCGTTCTGGGATCAGCCGCTGCAAATGGATGAAAATCGAAAATTGTTCGAGTACGAAGCCAACGATCTCTTTGCGGATATTCAAACCCTGCCCAGGAATGCTGCACTACGAAAGTTGAATGACTTCATCAAGAGAGCACGTCTGGCTAAGGTTCGTACGATCTACATCCCGTTGTTTTTACTTTATTAGATTTGCATTTTAGTTCATCTATAAGTAGTTTTGAAACCATGGTAATTGAAACTTGTCGTGGAAACCGTTTGAGTTCAAAACTATGCAAGTCAATTTTAAATGGAGGTTTATTCGGTGGGGAGAGGAACTAACCTTTGTGATACACATCCCCTTCCTGGGCCCTCCACCCGTCCCCTCCCCCCACATCACATCCGATACACTTACAGAGAAGTAGCAGTGGATTAGCAGATGCAGGAAGTCAGTTTCGCTACCTGTCGATTTCGCTACCTGTTCGCTACCCACAAATTCCAGTTCACTACCTACTTAATTCACATTCTCTACTATCAACAAAACTAAAACTTTGTGAAACAAAAAATATAGATCTAAGACTTCACGCACACAGATTATTCCTCATTCTTTCATCCAGTGCAGAGCCAAACCTGGATAGCTGAGGTAGCATTTTCGGCTTGTGGGTAGCGAACATGTAGAGAACTTGAATGCAGCAAACTCGACAGGTAGCAAAACTGGCGTAAACCTCTGGTATGCATATTCTTCATCTGAATTTCAATATCTGCATGTGACAACTTCTGAATTCCTGGCCTTTATGACAGTCTCTCTCTCTCTCCGAAAGAAAAAATGGGGAGAGCATATGTATGTTATGGTTGATAATCGTTTTCAAGGCCATGTGATTTTTCCTAGAATGTGTGGAAAAGGACCTGATTGATTCATCGCTCGTTTGTAGTTTAATTAAGAATAACATTTGCAATTTTTGGGGGGAACTCGGGACTTTGCATTTAGTCGGTAGCACTGACAACTATCTCAAGATTTGTCCATAGAGACCACATTGGAAGTTTGTTACACTTTTGAGTGAGATTTAGATTAAGAATTTAGTGCTAAGTTCACAAGCCAGAGTAAGGGAGGAAATCAGAATTTATCTTTATGGTGACAGAATTATTCCATGAGTGGTATATTTTTTATCTTTTATCTGTTGTTGTCTCTGCATGTCACATCAGATGTAGTGACACTGAAATGGTTTTAATGTATAGATGATTTATGCATGGAACACGATTATCGACAGCAACACACAGACGCTTTCCAATTTTATCTCTCCGGGAGGGAAGCTGAAACACAGGCGAGAAGCTCCCTACATTGTAGTGGGAATTTCAACAACAATCACATCAGTCGTCATCATGTTATTGGCATCTATGTCACTGTTTCAATTCTCTGTTGCATGTCATGAGTTTACTCTAACAGGGCTTCAATATAGAAAATTCTATTGGTCTACTGCCAGATTTGCTGATATCAAAACCTTTGATTTTCAGGTCAACAATTTCAGGATATACCAGTTACTAAACAGAACATGCTACTTGTTTATTTTCTGCAGGTCCATGCCTACATCATTGCTGAGCTTAAGAACCAAATGCCATCTGTTTTTGGCAAAGATAAGAAAAAGGAGCAACTGCTTAACAAGCTGTCTGATGTGTACATGAAGATCCAACGAGAACACAACATCTCACCAGGTGACTTCCCTCCTGTTTTGAAGTTCAAAGAGCAGTTGCGCAAGTATGACTTCTCTAAGTTCAACCCATTAAGAACCAAGCTGATTGAATCACTTGACCGCATGTTGGCTAGCGACATTCCACGACTTATGGGCATGATACCATTGGAGAAGGAAACTGATTATGATGCATCTGTAAAAGGAGGGGCTTTCTCCGTCAGCCATTCAACCAACAATCCCTTTGCAGCAGGAGCTTGCCGGGGTGCTCTACTTGGTGCTGGATCTGATGTTTGGATTGTCGAAGAGTATAAAGAGGAGTATGACAGGATCTTTAAGAGCTTAGGCCCGAAGAATGGAAAGCTTACTGGAGCAGTTGCAAAGAGGGAGATGGTTAAATCAAAACTTCCAAACACAGTTTTGGGTAAAATTTGGACTCTAGCAGATATTGATCGTGATGGACAGCTAGATCAGGATGAATTTGCTGTGGCAATGTACTTGATCAAAATCAAGCTAGATGATGATGATCTACCAGATGAACTTTCTTCTCATCTGATTCCACCATCGAAGCGTCCAGCAGCTTCTAATGGTATGGACTATGATTAGTAATGTAATATATTTACTGAACTAAAAGTTCCATGTGGTGGAGGAGACATTCCTATCATTGAATCTAGACTGTGGGTCAGAAGACAGTTCTTGTTTTGTGTCCCATTTGGTTTTCTCTTAAGAGATCTGCCAGTGACTGAAGATTTAATGCCTTGTGATTTTTAGATAAATTTATTATTTTAGAAACTCAATTTTATCCCACAAATTTGGAGTAAGTCTAGACTAGAGTACTTGAAAAAGGTACTTTTGAGTAGCAAGCTGTATTTTAAAACTAGATGGCAGCAGTAGTATTACTTGTATTAGTGCACAAGACAGAAACAAGAAGTGTGTAAACTGCAGTTTATTGGCCAGCTCTTCCCTCATCGTCAGGGCTCCAGACCAATGGTAGCTAATTAAAATTTGGCTAGAGGGCACAATAACTGATGATCAAATCAAACTAAGCAATCCCATATAGTTTTGCAAATTTGAGTGATATCTGAATTTTCACAAAGTAACATAATTATGTAGACTGAGCTAATAAATTATGCCTCAAAGTGAGACATGCAAAAATAATTAAAATACTGTTCATAGCAAAACATGACTAGTGGAAAATATGTCCTATTGAAAATACTTTTTACTTGTAAAATCGAATGTCACAAACCAGCAGAGCAGAGTGTTAAAAGGTTGGTCTTGAGCCCTGAAAAAGAGAAACACCTTGAAGAAGGACTGCTGTCATCTTGATCCAATATTATGCTCCATTAAAAGTCATAAATAAGATTATAGGTCGGGGTTTAATCAAGGTTTATGTCAAAACTCGTAAACTCAAGAATTCAATTTTTTTTTTTAAACTAAGTTTATGTCCAAGTTTGTAAGAGTGGATTAATGTAACAGGACTCCAGTAATTGGATTGTCATATTTATTGCATGCTGATGCATTTAACAAACAAATTTCTTCAACTGCAGTTCTGTAGATTCGCTTGGTAAATTGAGCTTACAATAAATTGGGTTGGGGATAAGGCTCAAAACAAGTTTCAGTTGTTTTTTCCTTGGAAATTTATAGAAGATTTGATCCAGGAGATGATCAGAAATTCAATGGCAAACATTGTGATGATACGAGTGACCTTTGGAAAATATTTGATCTTCTGAAAGTAGTCAGGAATCTCATATTAATCTTCATAAAGTACAGTGCAAAAGTTTCAAAGGAAGGTAGAAGTATTGTCAATGAGTATAGTGCATCATAAAAGCCCAGATGTTAAACTTGGGTTTGCTGTAATTAATTTTGTTATGTATTGGTAAAATTTATCAAGTACTTAGTCATGTGATCACTTTTGCCATGGGATACTTCAACTTGGTCTTTTAGGTTAAGTTTATTTTTGCATTTTTGTAAACAACTTACTGGTATTGTGTTTTGTATCTACATGTAATACTCACATCAGGAAATTCTTTTTTCCATCTGAGGAAGCCATAAATTACAATGATTATTTTCCCTTGTTATACCATCCAACTCAAATACGTTTTCCAATTGGAGGAGAACATGTCACTTGCCAATTTGGTCAAAACTCAGTAACTCCCAAGGGTGAACAAAACTCACTGACTCCCTAGGGAAACAACAACTTGAACTTTTGACTCGCACATGATTAGGTCGTGCTCCTTGAAACTGCAGCAAATTTGTGTGCCAGTCGACATCAAGCAAAGGATTTTTTGCAGTTTTGTTTTCTATTTTTGAGTTGGGAGGTGCAACAAAACACTTAATGACTGACCCTGCAGGAAACAATGAGTTTTGTTTTCCCCCGACCTCAATGTTGTTTCCCTTGGGGCCAGTCATTAAGTCCCTTTTGGATCAGTTGCTAAATTGCCACAGCCTGCTTGCTTACATTTGAGTTGATATTGTAAGGACAGTTTACTTGCTGATCTCTTTCAACATTTCACCTTGGTAAGGTGGATTTTGTACTCTGCACATGATGAGTCAAGCAATGACATATCTGTTTGTCTGTAAACATCCCATTGAGGAACATGTACTTCACAGGTTCAAGTGGAATAATGTCCTGACTATGCACTGCACTGTGTTATCATTTCATGTCATGTTGCTGAATCTACCTGTCAATTTATGTTTCCAGTCTTGTCATCTCTGCTAAATTTCATTAACTTCCATTTGGAGTTCATATCCTTCATTCAGAAAAAAACCAAGAACATACATAAAAGATTTTTACAATGACATGTCAAATAAAACATACATTTTAAACATACATTTTTTTTTTTTTCAAGAAGAGAAGCAATCGAGTATTTTTTAAGTCCAAAGTGACCTTGAAATTTAGAAGCATGTCTGGTTCACACCAGTGACATAACAACAAGAACAAGATTTTCCAAAGAAACGGTAAACAATAATAATTGCAATGATTCCATTGTGAACTACAGGTTACATCAATTTTACATTTTCTCTGTGTAAACTTGCTAGTGTCAATCAGGCTTGACTAGTTTTAACCCCAGGGGGACTCTCATATAAAAAGAACAGGGGTGCTTGTTAGAATTTTGGAAAGAACCCCTAAGAGGTTCCAAGATCCTGCTTTGTAGGCTTGGCGTGGGCTGATATATTTTTTTTTCACCCCCAAGAGGTACCAACACGTGATTTCCTGTTATATTTTTTCGGTGCAATACCCTAAAAGGTATCACAAAAGCTCCTTCAGTGAACCTTTTGAGGCTGAACACCCTGAGGTACCAAAATCGCTTTTTTAACTCCCCAAAGATACGACAAGCACCCCCGTCCTTTCTATATGGGAGTTTCCCCCCGGGGGTTTAAAATCCATATTATTACATTCATATTGCATGTGTGAATTATGCCATATTAATAATTATGCCTTTGAGTAATAATATTGTAAGTTTACTATTTAAAAGTACATTAGAGTTTTTGTCCATAAGTTATTTTTGATATCCACAACGATGAAGCAGCATTTGAAATTTACAATCATGGTTTGCTACTTTATTATTCTGTAAAATAAAATTATGGCGTTAGAAGGTATATGCAGCTGTTTCTTGTTTGACTAAGCTGAATGGCCCACCATAGATAAATAAAGTATTTCAATCTACTGGTTTCTTGTATATTTATGGCATCTGTCATGTAAGCATGAACACTGTTCTCTTTAAAACGGTTTAAACATAACCATGACATATGTAGCTATTAAATCGTTGGCAGACCCTGCTATTAATCGACAGACCTCAGAACAAGGTTGTAGTAATATTCATGTCAAACCATTCTCGTACCCAGAGTCGCATATCCCTTCTAGCCAGGAGAGCCTTGGCACAAGATAAAGGTGGGATATCTTGGACAGAGATTTTCCCTAATTCAACGTTTTCTTTTCCAAACTTATCCACTGGTTCAACTCTAACTAGCACCTACAGACCTTGAGAAAGTGATGCCTTGGAACCGACTGGCTCATAGCTGCCGTAGCTTATCCCGGTTTCTGTAGCATGAAGCAGCTAGGAGTATTTCCACTCCCCCTGGACTGGATGCTAGTTTCTTTGCAGGTCACTCCCCCGCAATTTGTTAGGTTTCCACCCGGCAGGGGGGGGGGATTGGGGGGGAGGAGGAGGAGGGTACTCCCAGAAAAATTGGGTGGGGATGTGCAGCCCGCTTCCCAAAACCCTTACCCTATTTATGACCAAAATCTGCGATATTTCCAACCCTATTTATGACCTAACCAAAAATTCGAAACCCTGTTTATGACCTGACCCTAATATCAAAACCCTCTCTCAGACCTGCATAATAATTAGCTCCCTAGTTCAGACCAATGCTAAATTACCGAAAACATAATTTGTGAAGGGCCTTTGTTGATTTTCTTTTCGATAATGACGAAAAAGTGGCTTCTTTAAAACATACCCATATCAAGCTAGAGTGCAAAAACCATACCCTATTTATGACTAAAATGGCCAAATCAGCTAAAATCGATACCCTATTTATGATCAAAACGGCTGAAAAACCATACCCTTTGGGGTCGCACATACCTATATAGCCCATATAAGGGGGTAACCCCCCCGGAGGTTTCCCCAACAATTCGTCGGTACCCATTTATACTCCTGGGTGGAGAGAGACACTGTGAGAGTTTAGTGTCTTGCCCAAGAACATAACACAGTGTCCCCGGCCAGGGCTCAAACCTGGACCCCTTGATCCAAGGACGAGCGCATTAACCATGTGGCCACCGCACTTCTACTACAGACCTTGAGAGATTTCGAGAAAATTACAATTTTAAATAGAAGTGAAAATTCTGGCCCGAAGTGGACTTGTACGTTTTGTAGCAGATGACCTAACTGAAAATTCTCTCTGTAAGACAGTTTCAATCTTCGACGAGCAATATTTTTGCGAAGGTTAATAAAATTTTACCTGCATAGCAAAAGGAGGGAACTGAACATTACAGACAGGAGATGATTATGTAAACACAGGTGTTTTACTGGAAAATAAACCACTAGTAAAATTCATACGAAACCACATCCGGGACTTCCTCACTAGTGAAGATATCAGATCACTTCACTGATATCATGTTTGACCCTTAAATTATAGTTATATTTGTTGGAGTATGATCGAAACATCTTCAGATCTTCCTCAAAAATCTTCGGCATTCTTCGGTTATTTTCGGAAACCTTCGGTAATCTTCGGAAATCTTCGCAGAATGCTCGGAAACTTTCCTGTGGCATTTGGACAATTTTTGGAGAATCCTGGGAAATCTTCGGAAAGTAGTCGGAAATCTTTGGAAAATCGTCAAAAACGTCGTTATCAGTATGTTTATATAATAAACAAAATTATACTTTAAATACACGGTTGCTTGTAGATATGGAATATCTCTTCTCGTGTTCAACTTTATACCTCACGCGGTTACTGCTCTCACTCATGAGATAACGAGTTGAACACTCCAAGAGATATTCCACATCTACGCGCACGGCCTGGGGTGGATTCAGGGGTGGTTCGAGTGGCTCAGTCGAACCCCCTAAATGAGATGAAAAATTGCTTCAAGACGAAATCTGATAGGTTTGCAATACGATGTAAATAATCTTGATAATAGGTTTCTCGAACTTCTGGTGGATTCCGTCTTAATACGCGCCGTTTCTGACGAAAGCCTTTGTGGGNAACATATCAACAAACGTTGTTGGCAAACAAAATCTTTTATCACATGTGTGCTATTACTTTCTTACCTTGCTAATTTCAAGGATTGTTTCTTTGTTTAGTTGAAAACCAAAACTTTATTCACTAACTGGAATAATAAACTCAGAAAATAAAAGAATAAAAATGTGAAATAGCAGGCTTCAAAGTAATTCACACAGAAAAAGTGATGCTGACATGTTCATTTCATGGCGCCGCTGCCGCCACGTAATTAATATGACACGACATAAAAGGTGATTGTCGGCACGCATGTAAACGAACATTCACAGACAACATTTTAAAACACCAGAATATTTGGCGCATCAGTAAAATATTCCTAGGAAACACTGCCTTGCGGTAGAGAGTATTTTCCTGTTTCAAGCGATTTCTTAGAGTCAGTAGATCCTGAGATATCCACTACCTTCTGACAACTGTAAACGTAACTGAATTGGATATTTAACCTGATAAATTAAAAAATAAGAAGTTCATGGCTAAGGAGAGTTTTTTCACCTCTGAACTGGCAGCTAAGCGAAGAGTTTATCAATCTTCGGCTTTAAAAAAATCTACACTTGTACGGGTTATGCACGGTCATGAAGGCTTATCATCACTCCAACTTTGTGAGTTCATGAATTTCTTTTGTTTTTGGGTGCGGGTTATCTGCCAGTGCAGGTAATCTGTTGAAATTTTTTTCTTCTTATTGCGAAAAATGACTGATGCGGTAATCTACCGAGTGGGTAAACAGCCAGAAATTATGGTAACCATGGCAGTCATGAGGATCTCTACAAGGCAGACAAGATCCCATTTCACACCATGGTGAATTTTAACAAAATTCTTGCAGTTTACCCATAAATCCATGAATTAATTCATCTCTTCATTACTTTTCACACATGATGTATTAATTTTTCCCCTCATCACACATGAACTTTTTGCTAACCCTTTGCATTTCCTGTGATAGCCAGGTTCCAGAATAATCATTTCACAGCCCATTAAAACTTGTTTGTTGTTCATGTATAACACTGCTCTTACTACAAAAAATCTTCCCAAAGTCAACTCTTTGTGTTTTTCAATATTTTAAAAAAATTGCAATAATTCCGTACTGACAACAAAGAAAGCTAGACAGAGATTCTACAGCATGAAGTACAATTATATGGTAGAAGTAAATGGTCGTTGGCTCCCTG